CCGCAACTTTGTCTGCATTTAATTTAGTTTTTTTGAGAATCCTATAATATAAATAAATAAATATGTATAAATATTTCTAACACTCACACCAATTAGCCTAGCCCCAAAGTAAGCACCGTAAGCTTGTGCTATGGGATACTAGGGTAACGAATAGAATACATATATAAGTATATTTATATAGAAAATATATATTAAACGTCCATGACTGGAGTACAAATGCTCGTATTCATCACACAAACATCTGCTCCCACCGGGATTCCAACCCGGAACCTCGCGAGTAGGCGACACCATGAAACCCGGCATACATACCATTCGGCCACGGAGGTCGTCTATGTCTCTATCCAGGTAATAAACTATGTGTGCCAAATTTCATCCAAATCCGTTTAACTGTTTTTACGTGATTGAGTAACAAACAAACTCACTTTCACATTTATAATATTAGGTAGGATAGGTAGCGGCTAACCTATGGAGTTGAAGTTTTTGTATGTGAAATTGGTAGCTTCGTTGTCTATGTTCGATGCTTAAGAAGTTAGTTAGCCGGAAGGTATACCAGGCCTACACCAAGAATAAGTATCACGTTGGGAAATGTTTACCATATCGGGAACCAAAGATGGGGCCGTAGAAATAATTTTAAAGTATTTGTCATTTACATACATGCTCTACTTTAGTGAATTGTTAGTAATACTTTCAAAAATTAACTTATACTTTTAAAGAAAAGTTTACTAGAAAAAATTCCACGCGGACCAAATAGCAGAAGGGACTCGAACCACCCTTCGCTATCCGGGCGAATGCACTGACCATTATGCTACCGCGACTCTGTCGAATTTTTCCTAGCCTTAGGCTGCAAGGCAGCGCCATCTCTTTGAATTGTAGGTAACCCACAATGTCACAATCACAATTTTTTTTTCTAGTAAACTTTTCTTTAGATTTAAACATTTAGCGATTTAAACATCTGAGGAGCTCGAAGGCGCAAGTGGTTAGGGCATTCGGCTGCGATCGTTGAAGTTAAGCAACTTTCGCAGTGGTCGGTCATTGGATGGGTGACCAAACATTTACTATCTCGAGTTCCTCCGTGCTTCGGAAGGCACGTTAAGCCGTTGGTCCCGGCTGCATTTGCAGTCGTTAGCACCCGCCAATCCCCACTGGCCCCGCGTGGTAGGGCATGGCCCAATCTCCTTATTCCATCCATAGGTAAGGCCTGTGCCCCAGCAGTGGGGACATTAATAGGCTGATGATGAAACATTTAGCAGTTAAATTCTTAAAAATAAAACATAACTTATTCTCAAGTTATGGCATAAACAAGGAAAATAGGGATTCATACTCGTTTAAAGATAATCAATTATGGCGTACAGAAACAACGGGGGTCTGCTAAAGATCCATTCTTCATAATAACGTCATCGATCATACTTTAATCGTGTAAAGTACTGCAAAAACAGAACTTAGCGCGCCCGATAGTCACCTGGAAAACTGAACAAGTGCGAGTCTGGGTCACGAAATGTCGGTTTCATGCAACCAACCTTTTTTAAGTACCTAGATATTTTGATTTTAAAGTTTGGTTATTTTTAAAACATGATCGTATCTACACCACGAAGCTAATACGTCTCATTATAAAATTAGGGAGTGTACGAAGAACAAATTTGTTTTGTCGCGGAGCGTTTCGATTCTGTTTAACGAATTGAGCTATGTGCTATCATTTGATTGATGAAAACAAAACACGGCGTAATCCTAGCTATTAGACGTTTCATCATCATTTAGATTTGGTACCTCATGAAATAAGGATTCTTATATACGCTCAATAGAAAGCTACCCTTTTCACTCTTTGACAGGTAAATCTAAAAGTGTATTACAATTTTCATCGTAACGTAGTTGTCACATTTCATGGAAACCCCGACTGAAACGTACTTACAGGAAATACTTGTTATTACCGGCAGTTGCATTCCCTCTACCTCCCTTCGTACAACGCGACACAGTCATTAGACTATTAGATACCACCCTGTCGTCGAGACTACAGTAGAAAATTACACATGCCCGCACGGTAAACAATATGTCTCCCGACATTCTAGTAATTACACGTCAATAAAATCCTTTAATCATTTTTCTATTCATAGATTGCTTTGTCGTTTGCTTTAATCACTCGTCAAAGGATCGTGCGGGGGTTAAATACTTATAATGGTACGTTTAACGAGTAGCCACTTTATTTAGATTGTCTCGTCCTCTGCGACTGCCTCGAAACGGTCAATGTTTCTTGTGTCAACGCACAGAATGTATGTTGTATTTTGCTATCCATACTTATTTGGAAATATTTGCCTTGGGATGATGAGTAAGGAACTGATTTAAGTTGAATTAAAAAAAATATTAAAATAATGCAATGGGTTGAGTTAGGAATACTACCATTTCCTAACTCATCCGAAACAACGTCATAGGTTGAATACGGAACAACCCGTTGTTTGCGTTTGACTTAGTCAATTACATACAAAATTGTTTTTATGAAATAATCGAGACTCAGTTTAAATAAAGTACATTTTAAAAGAAAAACCAATTATTATTAACCTTATGTTACAGTAACCAGACTTATTATTTTTATGATTATTATTTAAAGTTTAATCCATCAATTAGCCAGGATACAACCTGACATGCAAATACATAGGTATAGTAGAATAGCAGAGATTACGACTACCGGGATAAGTTTAGGTTCTATGGGTATACTTTTTGAAATTCTCAGTTTTTTTTGGATTCCACGAGGCGTCTTTAATATCATATAGGTTTCTACATAAGTAAAAACACATATTTTTTTTTACTTTAATTTTTTTGGAATTATTTAGTGTGGCATAAGTATTATTTCTTGATTCTTAGGTTTTCACGCACATCACTCATTAAATAAAACTAGTTTTTACGGGTTAATGCACGAAACTTTATTTATTTATTGACGTTTCGTAGCCTTTACAGGCTTCGTCGTCAGAATAAAACTTTTATTTAATTTGTCGTGCTTTAGGGGGACCAAACCACTACATTAGATTTGATAGACCACAGATCCTTGTAGCTGAGCGGCGGTTCATTCCTCGAATGATGCGCGAGGCTATTGAGATTAAAAAATATCCAAATTTCAATAGGGGAGATGGTTGGTATATACCACCAGCTTGGGAACCTATTATACAGGAGATAAAATCCCAACCCCGAGCACACACTGCAAGACCATCAGATACTATTAGTTCTTTTTGTTTGGATAATTTAACATAAGAAGGAGATAGAAAGCCTCTCTTGAGTTTGTTTCGCCGGTTCTTCTCTCTCCAAAATTTTGGAACCGGTGGTAGTTTACGGTAGTTAGGGTCAAATAAATAAACTCAAAATTACAAACAAGAATTTTAAATAAAATACTTTATTAAGTAAATTAAATAATAAATTCATACATAGATAATAAAACTTAAAAATCGAACAATGAAATAACCAAACGCTCAATAAAAGTCTTTCGAAGGTAGCTCGACAAATTAAATAAAAGTTTTATTCTGACGACGAAGCCTGTAAAGGCTACGAAACGTCAATAAATAAATAAAGTTTCGTGCATTAACCCGTAAAAACTAGTTTTATTTATTATTTCTTGACTTTTTAAAGTGATCAAAATGTGCTTAACAGTTTTTATTGATCGAAGTACGTACCATATAAAAAATTAAAGTAATTTGAAGAAAAATAAAAACCTTTCAAAATCCAATAATAACTTCTTTCGTAAAATAAAATCTCAATTTGATTTCGAAAATAGATAACAAAAAATACAATGCACAATCGAATAAACAACACCACATAAAAAAGGGGAATATTATCATGCCGATTGTATTAATGAAAGAATCGGTAAAGGCGTAACTTATTCAAACGACGTAGCAGGGAGGAAGCGGCCGTCACGTCCCCTAACGAGACGGAATTAAATACGAGTGTATTAGTACCATACCCGCCGCTCTCCTCTTACAAACGTCCATAATTTTACTTTTATTCAGTCGATGGACGGACGGACGCGCCTTCCAAGAACACGACACCCAACACTGCGACGCGATTCATGATTAGAAGAACGCACGGCCAAATCGCACAATATTTGAATAACACAGGAAGGTATACCGTCAACTCTTTAAACAAGATACTCATCCTCCTTTGTTTTGAAATTAGATCAAAGAACATCGATATTTCAATGAAGGAAAATCAAAGATGAAGATCTTTGGTATAACATTTCACACTGTAGTACTGTAATATGAAAGAGAAAAACAGCCGATGACCCCATTGCGACGGGAGAGTTAAAAATATTTCTCACCCGAAAACTTTCGGGAAACGATAAATCTGCTTAATTAGTCAATTTAGCTTTCCACTGAGCTGTTTGATTGGAAATTCTTGTAGGAGATTAAGAATCTATAAGCGAGGATTGCAAGGCATTTCCTATAGCGCTGTGCCGATCCACGGTTACGCACGGCGATTCTAATAAAATGGTCAGCAAGTTCTAGAAAATTGTCCGGCTAGTACAGACAGGCCCGATATTATAAAAGCCGCATATTATAATAATTCAGAATTTTGTTTTAATATATAAACGTCTTTTCATTGTGCCAATGCAAGGAATAATACTCGACGTTAGTACCTACATATATAAATTCCTTGTGCTAATGTGATTAAAAGATGTACCTATCTTAATTTAAAACAAAAAAAAAGTATAGAGTATTGAACCCGAAAAAAAATTGATCCTCGAACATGTTCTAAAGCTCATTGTGTTTATAAGTACTAGTGATCGCCTATTGGTCAAAATTCGACCTTTTCAGTTCTTCTTTCCAGAAGCATACTCTTTAATCATTGTTTGTGAGGTTCGTGCTTAGGTTTTTCTGACAAAGAGTCATAATAAAAAATATGCATTTTTAAATAAAAAGCTTTCTGCAGTGTAGTCGGAGAGAGACTGGAACCCTATAAACTTTAATTAGGAAAAAATCCGAGCGCAAAATGTATACTTTTGTAACTTTTTAGGATGAACTCACCTTTTCACAGACGCTGCGACAAGTGCCATCTGCTTTGGTGCAGCACATTGATATATCTGAAATGAAAAATCACCCAATAAAGCATCGCAACAAAGATATTATTTTGTTTACGATACACGACAAGCGCGACGGGGCCCAACAGCTGCCGGCAAACCACAATAAAATGCTCGCGACAGTTACATATGGCCTCATCATATAACGTGATGCTTTGATCTGTATTGCTCAAACGATCTATTTTACTCCACTTGTCAACAACTTTATTGTAGTAAATTAGTCTCTATACCATTAAGCCATTTTTGAAGTAATTTAGATGAGCTGTTATGCGATTTCGTTTTGTTCGTTGGACGCACTAAAATTTCTAGAATTAATAAAGGTAAAATTAGGATCTGTATTGCTGGTCACCTTAGAAACACAACATCACATCACATCTGTGATAAGATTTCAGCAGTGCTATTCTGTGAGAACAATATCGTAGTCAGTGAGATTTAAAATTTGTATTAAAAATTATATTCTAATTTCCAATTACACGAGGAAAGGGAATTTGTTCTTACAGAATAACACGTGCAGAACTCTAATTAATTTCAACAAGAATACAAAATGTATCTACCATACAGAAATGCCAGCGCATTTTCAATTTCACTAACGTTAGAAATATTGAAATTGAAGAGAAAGCTAGTAGGATAATTACTTAGTGGACTACGAACCTGTCCAGGGCCGCCCGCAGCCTTCCAACGAGTCGAAATTATAGGAAATACTCCTTGAAAGTTAAATGAAAGCGGCTGCAAGATTATGATCATACTTTATACCGAAACCAGACGATAACGTAATATTCTCTTAGGCTTTAACCCATTTTGCTAATGTCCAGTCTCTATGCACCAGCGTATTAGATATGCAAAACATAGCCGTAAAGTGGTGCGGTATTAATAATTTTCTCGGAGAACACAGAGATAAGGATATTTACCGATCGAATTCTAGAACACGCACGGCTTACGGTGAACGTTCAATATTAGATTTTGGGATGTACGTAAATTTAACTTGACTGTTATTATTTTGTATATTGTAATACTCGTAGGTAGCTGTACAACTAAGTCATTCGATTGCCAAAAAATGAGTGTAATGATTTCATCTTTGTATGAATGTTGTATGTTTGTTTTTTTTATCCTCCCACAACTTAACAGATTGCAATAAATGGGGGGTACCTTTACTACATCAACACTTTAGCAAGGAAGGCTATTATATATTTTTTTCTGCATATCACATAAGACTCAGTCAAATAACACAATTTTCTGCACTCGTTCCTTCAAGTAATAACGGGGTAGGGGATTATGAGCAAGGGTAGTCAACATGCAAACGAAACTCGCGTCTGTAAGCTATATTATTATCATTATCATAGGACATATATGTTCTGTATCCATAAGGCACCTCGCGCACTAGATGGCCACGGCCACGGCACGGATTAACTAAAAATTTTTAAACAAAAAATAAAACCAACTTGTAAATTGCAAATGGAACTAAAAAGTCGGTTTTATTTTTTGTTTAATTGGTTTTTATTTCATCCATTTTAGTGAAAATTAAATCGCCCAAGTAAACAATAACACAATTGACGGAGAAATCGGTGAACATGCATAAAAAACATCGTGTGTGCCTTTGAAAATTGAAGGTTTCCCTCGATTTCCCCGGATTCCACCATCAGATCCTGACTTGGTTCCAATGGGAGCACCTCGGAAGTTTTTTCGAATAAAAAAATAATTTTGGAAATCGGACCACAATTGACGGAGAAATCAGTGAAAATACATAAAAATACATACAGCCGAACATAGAACCTCCTCCTTTTTTGAAATCGGTTAAAAATTGACCGTTGCGGGTGGTCGTGGCCGTTTAGTGCGCGAGATGCCTAAGCTTGTTTGATTTTTTCGCAACAACAAATATATCTACCAGTAAAACCTTTTAATTTCGCTAATCATTTGCCAAAACATAGGAGCTTCTCACCTTGAGTATTCGCGTAGGTAAACATCAAAGCAGTCAGTATCAAGCTGGTGGTCCACCACCTCCTGGCCCATGAGAACCTCCATCCTTCAATCAGCGCCGATGCCATGGCACTTTATACGGACACCGCTATTTTTTGTTTTTTTGTTAAATCAAAACCTTTCTGCCATCACATCTTGAGGTATCTCCACAATCTGCAAGAAAAATAAATGTTTTGGTTATCATAAGAAGTCCTTACTCAATGTAAAATATTAATTCTATACTACATGTTTAGGATAACCTTACATAGGCAACTGTACCTACTTAAAGATTAAATAAGATAAAATTTTCTTCGTAACTTTCTCTTACTCGTGTTATCATAAAAATCAATAAACAAAAAATAAAACCGACTTCGAAAACGAAAATGAAACTAAAAAGTAAAAAATAATATCTGGTTCATGATTTGGAAGTCGGGCGGGGTCAAGATTGGAACATGGAATAGATTTTCTATTCTAATCATACCTACCGGTTTCAATCTTGACCCCGCACGACGGTCGAAGTTACAGTTGGTTTTATTAACTGTTTAAAATGCTCATAAAATAATTGCTTTATGGGACCAACAAGCAAGTATCCCCATTGAATAAAAAAAATGGGTGCGTGTACTTATATGTAGGCGCGTGAGAAGTTATCCTTCTTTGGCATCGTTTAAAATTAGTTTTTAATTGCATGCAAATAATTAATTACAATAAATTAATAAAAAGTCTGGAAAAGGACACAGTCAATAAAGTTCAGTTTTAATTTGAAAAAATAAATAAATAATCAAAATATTCAATTAAAATCGCTACTGAATATAATTTATTAGAACATATGTGATTTGCACTTGTATGAAACTCAAACACGTATTCCGAATATACAAACTAGAAACATGTGGATAAATATTATAAATATGAATACCTATAACTGTTACTTTATTACAAAAAATAAAGATGTGGTTTTTGGTTCTACTACACCAATGGTCAAGAGATGGCGCTGTAGTCTCCTGAATCGCGCTTTGGTTCCGTTGTTCCAGATTAATAAATACTTTTGATAGGCCTTCACAGTGCAGTCGTTAGCACCCACTAAATAGAGATTCTATTTCTATTTTGTTGGTAGATTTTCTTAATGTGCGGTAAACACAAAAGTAACAGCATGAAGTTGGTCGCTTTAGCGACCAACTTCATGCTGTTAAAATTTTGTGTTACAGTGATGCGCGCGCATCTTAAAATTTCACTCTCATCATTTTTTCATAACGCGCCTAAAGAAGTATAACTTCAAAAAATGATCACACAAATCGGATAGGAAACCTTTAAGTAGTCGGTGTAGATATGAACAAAGTACCGTGAAAATTACATCGTCTAAGTAACAAAAATGCTCATAAAATTAGAACTACTGGACTAATTTGGATTACATTTTTATGGGACCAAATGGCAACTATTCCGCATCTAACAAAAACCGCAGAATCACGTAAATCTGATTTTAGAAAATTACGGGATAATCAGTATCCTTTATTCATAAGAAAAAAAAACACACTGACCCAATTGAGAACCTCCTCCTTTTTGAAGTCGGGTAAATAGGCCTGTTATAAAATGTTTAATTCTAATATACTTAATTATTTATTTTGCCTGCAGCTAAGTTGTTCATTATAATAAAATTGTACTCCCATTTTACGTAAACCATTAAAATACTTAATATTTATTTTTACAAAAATTATAATCAAATAATTTTTTCGTGGTTCTGTTCACAGAATAGATGAAGAACTCGTGTGACTGAAACACGGTGCTATATAATAAAATATACGATTAAGTTTTGTTTTTAATTTATAATCTAATGCCGAATAACGTGTACCGATACATGTATACCTACATAAAATTATATTATGTATGTAACTATGTATTCTTGTTACTGGAAAGAAGAGGAAAATAAATATTTTCTGTACTCATAAAATGAAAAGTTCAGGGCAAGGGACGCATTTCACATAGATTGCGAGCAACCCCCGTAGAGGCCACTAAAAATATTTTATTGGCCTCACGTGGACCGACCTCGTCCGGACTATAGACCGGGAGCTCTATTTTTGATTCGCTCGCCTGACATAGTATCGTCGAATGCGACTTAAGTCACTTTCGAGTTCCAAGTTTCATGATACTGATTTTCCGTATTTTTGAATCGTTCATCTACAGTGTTACCAGTTTAATACAAAATATTTATTTTTATTAATTTCAGGGAAAAAGATAAAAAGCTGACATTGCTGCTGTGAAAAATAAACGTATAATTCTCAATAACTGGTTATTTAATGTTTTGCCTTGTTTGTTAGATAAAATTAAAACGTCGAATCAAATAATCATCTTATCTGTATTTTAAAAAGATTGAGAAAAAATCTTGTAAATATCTGACATCAATTTGACAATTATTTTACCTTTCGCCTCCATCATTCTCCAACGCGCAAAGAGTGGTCGAGACCGATCGTTGACGTCGAGCGATTCAAAAATACGTAATTTATTATGTCGAATCGAAATAGTTATAAATCGAGCGTTCGACGCAAGGCGAGTGATTCAAAATTAGAGCTCCAGGAGATTCACTAAAAGAAGTTAGACCGGGAGATGTAAAGCGAATCGAAACCCAATCCCCTTTTTCAACGTCTGTCAAGTACTCGACACTAATAAAACAACGTGAACAAATACAGCCTTGTATGTTGAACTCCTACCCTAACGTTCTTTTCCATAGCTTTTGAGAACTTTTCGAGTATATAGTAAAGCTTGAACCGCCAAGAGTGCTGCGAAGTTTTCCCGTAAACAACTTTGTAATGGTTCCAATGTGTAAGGTAAGGTTTAGGCTCTTTCTTACTTCTTGTGAAATTTCTATCTATGATACGAGAAAATAGTGCATAGGTACAAAGTAAGACGAAAGAATTATATTTTCTTAGATTCCCTACTTGTATCAAATGATGTTTTTAAAATTAATTACGCTAAAACAAGCAAATAGGTATGAAATATTTTTTCTAGATTTTTTTTTATGTGCTATACTATGATATTTTAAAGAGGAAAATTTGATTGTTTGTTTGTCTGCATTGAATAGGCTCCGAAACTTCTGGACCGGTTTGAAAAATACTTTTACGTTTACATAATCCTACATTATCCCTGATGAACACAGGCGATAGAATACCTTCAAAAATTCAAAGTAAAAATCTTTTTTAAAAACAAGCTTTTATTTTAATGCGCTAAAAAAATCTTTTTAAAACTTTTACTAGGAACTCATAACGTCATTACACAATTTATCACACTAATATTATAAAGGCGAAAATTTGTGAGTGTGTATATATTTGTTACTTTTTCACGTCTAAACGGCTGGAGCGATTTTAATAAAAGTTGGTATGGAGTTAGCTTACACCCTGGATTAACCCAGGCTACGTTTTACTGCAGGAAAATATCCCTTATAAACTTGGGTAACACCGCGGGGCACAGCTTGTATAATATAAAAGCTTATCGCGAGTAAACCTGTGTAGATAAACAAAATTTGATCGGATTGATTTTATTATAAAATTTTCATATTGTAACTACCAGTATCTACTTAAATCTAGCGACAAGCTTTTATATTATACTAGCGGCCCGCCCTCGCTTCGCTTCGGTGTAGAGCTGAAGTGTAGACTACAGTTTTTGTTCTCAGGCTTGTATTATACACAATGACATTCATCTATGATTCTTCTTATACCTGCATGCAAAGTCTCAGCCCAATCGGTTTAAAATTGACAAAGTTTCATACAAACTTTCATTCCCTATTTTATCCCCTTGGGGGTAGAATTGATCAAAATCCTTTCTTAGCGGATGCCTACGTCATAACATCTACCTGAATGCCAAATTTCAGCCCGATCCGTACCACGATAATATTATCTATATCCGTACAGTGTTTTGGGCTGTGCGTCGATAGATCACTATGTCAGTCAGTCACCTTTGAGTTTTATATATATAGATAAATAGATAAATTGTGTAATAACCTTATAAGTTCATAGTAAAAGTTTTATAGGAAGTATTTGTTTTACTCTTTTTAGCACATTTAAATAAAAGTTTGCTTTTAAAAAAGTTTTTTACATTTAATTTATTTTTTCTTTTTTGTTATTGATAGACTTAATTGAATATTTCAAACCACCATTTTCTTAGGTAGTATTTTCATTTGCTACCCATATTGTAGAAAAGCATTAAAAACTTAGGCCGCCATCTTTTAAAGTCTATATTGTATTTAAAGTGACATCACTTTATTTTTCGAGTTATTCTCTTCAAGTCCTTTCATTTGATACCCATACTGTAAGAAAGCACAAAAAACTTAGTCTGGCGTGTTTTTAAGTCCGCCATATTGCACTTAAGGTAACGTCACTGTATTTTTCGAGTTATTTTCAGCAAGCCCTTTGATTTGATACCCATATTGTAGGAAAACATAAAAAACAACTAGTCCGCCATCTTGTATGTTCATTCATATTGAATTTAAAATGACGTCCCACAGCTCACCATACATTGTCATCCAAACTAAACGTGTGTAGAAAATTTCAGCTCAATCGAATGAAGACATCTGCTTCAAAATTGAGTTTTAAGATTCCACACGAACAGACATACTAATCATCTAAATATAATATCATAACATCTAAAGAAAATGCTTAGAAAAAATTCAACTCAGGCCACGCCACATTTTTTCTAGTAACATGTTCTTTAGATTTAAACATCTAACAGTTACATTCTTAAAAATAAAGAAATATACAAACTTACATACATACATACATTGCAAGTTAAATAAAAGCTTTTAAAAAGTTAGTGATCAGTATGAAAACTTCAATAATGTATCCCACCGTGTGAAAAAAATTGCAATACCACGTACGCTGCAGAAATTATTGATAATAGAACAAAGTGATATTCTCACTTAAGTTTTATAGAGGATATCAATATCTGCAAAAAGTCCGCGATATCATTAATTATGTCTAACCAATAGTTAAGTTATGTCACAGTTACTTTTTTTCATGTTAAAATATGCAATAATAACGTCGGTGCGGTCTCTACTACATTATTCGAACCTGGGTATTAATACTTTTCCAAATAAATCACTTTGTATTCAAGACTTTATCAGTTCCCGTAAATTACTTTTTGAATTATACAAAAAGTAATTCATTCCATTCCCAAGTTACGTACCATTCAAAAGTTATCATGAGTGTTTTAGTTATCATGAGTGATAAATGTGTAGGATATTAACAAAACACTGCGTCATTACTCATAAGATACGTTTAAATAAGGGCATGGACCAATAGTAAGGGGACACTATTTGGGGCTTTTCTTAACAGCAGAACAATGGTGCATTCGGTATGAAGGGTCCGAACTACGCAATAAAATTTTCACTGTCAGTTAGATAATTTTTCATGTAAGGTTTATACCTATAATACCGATATTAGGTCTATGTTGCAAGCCTGAGAATAAAAAAAACTTTAGTTTACACCGAAGCGGAGCGAGGGCGATCTAATAGATATAAAAGCTAGCACTTTAATATTTAAAATACAAAATATTGTAAAAAAGAAGGAATATAAACAAAACTATGTTACTCCTATTTTCACTGTTAGGTATATCATTAATTGCATACCAAGTCAACATAAAATAACTAAAATAAATTTCGGAAATTACAAATTCTAAAGAATTAAGTACCATATCATACGTTTTTAGGCTACAACGAAATTTACGTATAATTTCTGTGATTGTTTTGGAAGCTTATTTACATAATAAGTTGTTCTTTTTCGATACAGGTTGTTGTATTTTGGTAACTTATATCTTTTTTTTATATGGTAAGAGTGTCAAGTACATAGGCCTCTCAGATGCCCTTAGATAATCACAAAAAATATTGCACTCGGTTAGAATTTGAAATTCAAAATTTTCATATTACACTCATAACGTTACAGTAATTGAAGAATTCTATATCAATATTTATTTTCTTCAGAATGTACGTGTACGTGTTATAATTTTTAGCATTCGTACTTGTAGTCTGTAGATAGTTTTATTGTATCTGATATTATATTAAAGCTGAAAAGTTTATTTGTTTGGTTGAACGCGCTAATCTCAGGAACTACTTCTTTATTATATTCACATAACTATATTATACGTAATTTTAAGTAAATTATGTAAGTATATAAATATTTCAGTCTGTGGAAACTTAACTGGTTTATTGTAAAGTAATAAGTGTTACTTAATTGTATTGTGTAAAACTGTATGTTTCCTAAATGAAAATAAATTTAACTACTGGTCCGATTTAATAAATTGCTTTTGTGTTGAATTGAACATTAATCGAAGAAGGCTATATAGGCTATAAGTATAATATAACAAAACGACCAATAGGAGCAGAACACCAGTAAAAAAAATGCAAAAACAGAAAAAGATATTCCATTTGAGAGCCTTCCACTGTGTAAAAAACGGTAAAATTTACTCAAAAATCCAATTTGACGGAAATGTTGCCCTTTAAAAGTTTGCCGTTGCCTACCTTGACCCAATCCCCTACCCCGTAGATCCCTTACTCACCGACAAAAGACAATACCAACAAAGGTTAGAATTATTTTACTGTGGTCGTCTTTAAGATGGAGGTTACTTACTCAGGCAGGCTAGGCGCTTCAATTCGAGGGGAAATTTTGAGAGCGAATGAAAATTGAATAAAACTATATTTCGCTTTCGATGATATACTGGCAGCGTTCATGATCTATGGACTATTGACAGTGAGTTTTAACAGGAGTAATAATGAATGGATGAATTAAGCAACTTTCGCAGTCATCGGATGGGTGACCAAAAATTTACTATCTCGAATTCCTCCGTGCTTCGGAAGGCACGTTAAGCCGTTGGTCCCGGCTGCATCTGCAGTCGTTAGCACCCACCAATCCGCACTGGGCCCGCGTGGTGGGTCATGGCCCAAACTCCCTATTCCATCCATAGGGAAGGCCTGTGCCCCAGCAGTGGGGGCATTAATAGGCTGATGATGATGATGATATATTGGTGTTTCGGAGATTTTACTCCCTACTAGAATAAGATCCGAACCAGCAAGCTATTTGTGCATTCGCTCAGATAAGGAGCACGTCTGATTTTCTACTAAAGTACCATTAGGTATTATTTTCCTCAGGCACTGTTCAATATGGACTTCTACTCAAACAATATTAAGAATATTCATAAGGCTCATTAATGATCGATCGAGTTAATTGGGTTATGAAACAAAGTCCACGCCATCGCAATCGCAGTATTTAGCACGGGCAATTTAATAGACCATCCTCGATCAGCAAGACGTTCATCTTCTCAGCATCATTTAGTATCACACTATATTTGATACATATATACTACATACCTATACTATACAAGCTCTAATGTAAGTAGTACTTAGTTGTGGCTTATTGATTTTTTTTATTTTTATTTAATGATAATGCCATCTGCTAAATTGAATTTCGATTGCGTCCAATACATCATAATATTATATCTTTTTTCGTCAAATTAATCATAAAAATTGTTAAAGAACAACAAAACATTTTTTCTGATTCTCATCTCTGGATCAAGATCCATCAGAACATCTCATATGAAATAAATTGTCTAGCTAGCTGTGCCCCGCGATGTTACCCGCAGTTTATCAGGGATATTTTCGAACAGTAAAACGTTGCCTATGTGTTAAATCCAGGGTGTCAGCTAACTCCATATGAAATTTTATTAAAATCTCTCCAGTCATCTTGACGTGAAGAAGTAACAAACATACACACTCACGCACTCGCAAACTTTCGCCTACAATAAATGGTTCTCATAGTTCCATCTGTAGTTCAATGTCTTTGCTCTACACACATCATTGTAAAGATCGTTTATATTAAGGAACCTATATTTTTATAATTTTAATTTTTTAAGCATGAAACTTTTTGATTTTTAAATCTAAAGAAAATATAACTAGAAAAAAATCTACGCGGACCAGGCAGCAGACGGGACTCGAACCCGAACCCTTCGCAATCCGGGCGAATGCACTGACCAATTATGCTACCACGGCCTGACGGCCGCGTCGAAATTCTTCTAGCCATTCTTAAGCTGCAAGGCAGTGCAACGTATATTTTGCCTAAAGTCTCGAAGTTATAGAAGGACAGAGACAAAGCTCATTTCAGTTTTTTTGCTGATATTTGAGAGGTTAAGGGCATCTGAAAAATCATCAAAAATATAAAAACATCAACAATCAAACTCATTTAATTCTAGCTTCCGCCCGCCACTTCGACCGTGTCATGGCGCACAGGATCCTAACATTTTCCGGTATAAAAAATATTCTATGTGTCAATCTAGGTAATAAAATACCTTTAAGCCTTTCAGCCATATCCGATCAGCCTTTTTAGCGTGAAAGAGTAACAATTATCGTAATTAAATAATAATTATAATATAATGTAGTAGAAGAATATTTTCACGTAGCAAATAAACTTTAAACGGGTTTAAAAAGTTTTAAGTATAATTTTACAATAACAAAAATTCTACTCGCTCCAAGTTTCAGACGGGATTCTAACCAGCATGTTCTGGGGGGGGAACTTAGGCTTTGTTAAATACAGACAATAATTTTTATACGTTTTGGCTCCGTATTATCTGATAGTTTAAAGGAATATTAAATGACAAAATACGATTTATTAACAGTTAAAAAAACTTACATCAGAGCAGGATATTAAAATTGATACAGCAAACACTTTATTTCTGTTACAAAAGTTATTTTTGTCTCTGTTTCTTATGAATCACTCAAAAAAATATGTTCCCGGCACTACTTATCTTTGTTTATTATTATGTGACTAATCTTCCCTCATTCATAATGGTTTGTCACAATTGTATCCAATCAATTAAAACACTGGTAATTTCACAAAAGCAGTTTTCGAATAGAATCACAATCACTGAAAACGTGTAAATAGTTTTTTATTTTTAAAGTTGTACATTGGTTACGATGTATTTCGCGCGCTTTTTTACACTCAAACTGAAAACAACCTCACTCGCCACCACGCTCGCGCCAAATTGACGCGCTACTAAATAGACCGACATAAATTCATTCAACTCCAGCCTCTATGCTGCCTGTCTCCTTCCTTCGAGGGCTGGTGATAATAGGACCGTCTCGCTCACTCGCTTCCGCCTTATGAACCCTATTGAGCTCGTTAGTCATTAATTAATTCTGCATAAGAAAATTAATTTTAATTGAAACAGTGCACAGATGGCACCGTTCCTGGTGGACGCCACGCATAAATAAAAAAAATACCTTTTTCTGAAGAAGTAGAATTGTAATTTATGAATTTTTCTGAAAACAGCTTTTAAGCGATTTGACTCTACATTTTTCATTAGTATCTAAATAGCTTTTTTTAAAGTTAAATATTAGCTTATTTGTTTCTTAGATTTTCACGCACATCACTCATTAAATAAAACTAGTTTTAAAGGGTTAATGCCCGAAACTTTATTTATTTATTGACGTTTCGCAGCCTTTTCAGTTCTGCATCGTCAGAATACTGATTTTTTATTTAATTTTGTCAAGCTACCTAGTTAAATAGCTTTTTACATATTTTGGCAAATATTACGAATTGGTTGCTCTACTTGTTAGTTATTATCTTATATTATTATTGTGATTAATTCTATTACTGACGTATAAAAAAACGTTTATTGGCCTACATACTAACACAGAAAACATTTACGTAACTTTACTAACTTCAAATTCGGTAGAGCCAATTTCTTATATTATGGGTTTTTAAACCAACAAATCAAATTCCTTAATGAAACACCTACAGTTTATTTAAAGAAAACTGGTAAGTGTCACACTGCGAAAAGAAACCTGGTAAGGATCACACTGCGAAAAGAAACCTGGTAAGGGTTACACTGCGAAAAGAAAACTGGTAGGGGGACACACTGAGGGACAGAAAAAGGAACGATTGACTGAGAAAGTAAAGTAGGGTCACCGATGTTATCAAGCGAATCACAAAACTCAAGTGGCAGTGGGCTGGCCATGTTGCTATGAGGCGAGATTCGTGGTATAACTAAAGCACTCATAGAATGCAGACCGTGGGATGAGAAACGCCCCAAAGGAAGACCACATATACGATAGTACGACAACATCAAAATAACAGCTGGATTAAAATGGATAGAAAAAGCCCAAAACCGAGAACAATGTCACAAAATGAAGAAGGGCACCCACGCGTTTAAAAAATATTTAAGAAGAACATTAAATATTTAAGATTCATGACTTGATATGGTGATGACAGAAATCCACATAATTTTACACCAACAAATAAATTGCATTGGAAAGAAAGAAAAAAATCGAAAATTTTAACATTCCAAAAATAACCTCGAAATAAAAGGAAGATTTTTTGAATACAACTAAATTATTTGTGCCCTACAGAACATGCAGTCGTCTACCTGGAGTCAAGTGGTTTGGATAAACGCGCCGAGTCGAGCCATATGCTCTAGTCTGGTCAGACCATCGTCGTCGCCAAGTGGGCGGCTTATGAAGGATTTGGTCGTAAGTAGCGATGACAGTAAAAGTATAACATTGTTTTAGAGAGTCATTTAAACGCTAAACGACTTGATTTTTATACCGGGAGAAAATTCCAAATCAAGTCTGATCCCTTCCTTGATCGATTTGAATGTTTTCTGGTAAGAATTTCTTTAAAATGTTTAGGTATATTAAACAAAGTACTAGAAATAAATCCACACGGACCAGGCAGCAGACGGGACTCGAAACCGCGACCGTCGCTATACGGGCGAATGCACTAACCATTATGCTACCGCGGCCCTGATGGCCATGTCGAATTTTCTCTAGCCTTTCTTAAGCTGCAAGGCAGTGCCATCTATTCGCATTGTAGGTAACCCACAATATCGAAGGGTACAAGTTCGAGTCCCGTCTGCTGCCTGGTCTGCGTGCATTTTTTTCTAGTAAAATTTTCTTTACATATAAATGTAAAGAAAATTTTATTTTACATATAAATGTAAAGAAAATTTTAGCAGCAGTAGATGTATAAACATCTACCTGTTATGTGCTTAAAAAATAAAAGGTATGACTATATTAAACATGTTTATTTTAAGCTCTATCGTGTCTACATAAACAATTTAACATGCACTGCTCGTTCAAATTTACATTTGCATAAAGTAACAGGGTAAAATGATAAACTTCAAAGAATCTCTCTCATGCCAAACTTAGAGACAAAATAGAAGCTATTTTTCATTTAAATATACGACTGCACAAAAGTTTGCGTTATGAAGATAGTAAATGAAAAGTAAAAGGCTAATATGCTACACTACAAAGAAGTTCGCTTACGCCTAGCTTAGAGACAAGCTAGAAACTATTCAAGTCACCCAAACGCGCAGCTTGTACAATAAAAAAGTGGGCATCACTTTATGTAAAAGGGTTGGCAAAACGATGGTAATCGACTGTCATATGTCGATTAATACCTGCTTGCGATACCAGAGTATTTGCCCCGTTACCTACCCCATCCCCTGCCTCGTGGAGTCCTGTACTGTATGTAGATTGTAGACCAAGTGTAATCCTTTTTTGTGAGGCAAGCAAAACCTCTATTTACAGACGATGGCGCCTTTAAGAGGCACACCGCCGAACAGACCTCACACCTGGCTCCCGCAAGCCTTTACGAGCCTCCGCAGTGGCTGCCCACTGAGAACCCCGTAACTCTTACGGGCGCTTAACGACATGATATCCTGCGAATACCCTCTAAACTGCAAAGTGCTAAACTAAAAAAAAAACTTGTATTAGTTAGTCAGTTGTAAACCTTAATTTACGCCAGATACCATGGGTTTTTATACCATATACATCTTATTTCGCATCTAAATTTTACCTCCACTTACCATCAAGTAGGGTGAAGTCATGTGCCATAAATATATGAAAAAAGATATCATGCTATATTTAAACTCTAGTGTTAAGTAAACTTATGGTTACATTTATGGAAGATATTGGTATCGTATCTGGCAGGATTCTCTAAACTTAAAACTAAATTTAACATCAGTCTGCCCTTTTCATTCTGTATATAGAATGACAAGGATACATCATACAGTGTTGTCAAATTTAAGTTTAGATTTAGTAAATCATGCCAGAATCGACACCGTTATCATACTGCTTATGTTCCTAATTCCACACAATTAAGAGGTAGGGCAGAACAGTTTTCCTGCTTGAATCATAGTGCCTGGAGAAGTACCATCCGTCTTAGAGAAGATCACAGTAAAATAACCTACCTTTTGGTGATGTTGTGATTCTGATGGCGATTAAGGTTCCAGTGATCTGTCTAAGTTTATACAGGACTTCATCACACAGAACATCAGATGAAGTAGATTAAAGTTATAAACTCTCACTAGACGATCAGCAACGGTACATAACTTAAGTAAAATCACCCATAAGTTAGACAAAAATCGTACGTGACCACGCATCATGAATATATAAAACGTATTCGTTTAGGTAATGCAAAAACGAAGAGATAAATCTAGATAATATATTAAACACCTTAGACACAAATAGTTCTATAGAAGTTAGTATTTAGTTAGTAGATATAGAATTATTTATATTGCATACTTTTAGGCACATAGGTAGGAATTTCTGTATTTTTGAGAAACTAACTAGAAAAACTTCCACTCGGTCTTGTTATCAGACAGGATCTTATATTTTTATTAGATTATGATAAGAAATCAAACTAACACTAATGACCACACAAAAGTTTTAAAGACATCCATTCAACACGAGTTTAATGAAAAATTACACACAAAATTCGTCTAGACAGGTTCCAACTTTCTTATTGTACAAACATGTACCTAAGTATAGATTATAGTACTTATATTACAAAAACCACGTTTATTTATCAATGAATTAATAGGTAAGTCCGTATGTTCCTTCCTGCGCTACCTTTCTACCTAACAATTTCCTTTATAAACTTCATATTTTCCTTAGACTTTTCCGTTGCCGTTGGTAGTTTTAATGTAAAAATATACACCCAACAAAGCCACGGTGCGACATTGATAGATGGATTCAACCACACACTGTCGCGTATTTACCATTAATATTATGAAATCTGTATTTAAAATACAAACGCGGACAAAAAAATACACATACATAGTAAAAATAATGATAGATTTTTAATTATCAAAAATCAATCATCAAAATCGTCAATAAACGGCAGGATAATTTAGGAAATTCGAATTTCCAGCACAATTAAGCAAAATCTAACTAGAGAGTTATAGAGAGAGAGAGTAGGAGCTGCCGCAGGTGGTTAGGTCATTGGATGGGTGACCAAAACCTTATTATTTCAAGCTCCTCCGTGCTTAGGAAGGAACGTGTAGCTGTTGGTCCCAGCTGCATCTGAAGTCGTTAGCATAACACCCACCAAACCGTACTGGACCCGCGTGATGGGTCATGACCCAATCTCTCTATTCCATCCATAGAGAAGGTCTTATTAGGCTGGTGATGGTGATGAAATTAGTGATTATTTGCTTAGCTTTACATCTGAAACATTTATTACTTACATTTCGTTCTTACGAGATTTTCATCATTGCATACTGTACTGGGTTTGGGAGTAGCGTCAGTAAGTCAGCATCCGTATACATTGTCAAAATGGATGCTCCAAATGAGTCGCTGTGCAACGCACAGTTTCCCATCTGTGACGGCTCGCTTATTCGATCTAATTGCACTAATCTCGCTCTCCCCGAATAAACATCATGTTGACAAATGTTATTTTCGTTGTACACCTCATCATTTTCCAGCTAACATTAAATACTTACCAGTACATATCTATCATGCTATAATAGCGTTCTGAACTACTACCGTTTTAAATTATCGTAAACTTATTTCGGTCTGCAAAAAATATGATACTTGTGAAACCTTTTAGTAAAGAAATAACTGCTTCGATACTTCGTGCCATGTTCATATAGCAGCCCGTTTTTGCGAATATTTAGTAGGAAATCTTTATGTTTAATGCATAGGTTTTCATTTGTTTAAACCTATTATTGCAATATTATTAAGAGATGAAATCAATGTCTTTGAATTTACATTTAAAGAACTAAGTACGGTAGAAAATAACTACTGTACAAGTTAATTTATTTATGAACATGAGCTTACCAAATTTTACCTACTTAAAATGAAAAAAAAAACTATGTTAACAAGGGAACTCCATACTTTCTTGAAATCTTCGTAATTTTGTATTTTTTACGTGCTAAATCTATAGAGCTATCAGTCTAGATGTCAAAAATACATGAAGCCAAACGTATTAACATAAACATCATAATGGGTAAAAAACAATATCTCGTTCTTCATAAAAGCGAATGGGATAGGCTGAATCGTAAGAATGGTTTAAAAGAAGACGAAACTGAACAACACCAAGAACGGGAAGAGTATTTTAGAAAGTTAGTCGATAAATCTCAGAGCTGGATAAAGACATGGCCGGACACTGTGCAGGTATATTCAAAACCGGAACAAGTCTTGAATAGGCGCAAGGGCGTCGCCAAGGGCTCAGCTGCTCTCCTCTAATCCTATAGGTAATTGTAATCTCAACTGAGTTGAGAGCACAAAAAGCTTAGCGTACTTGCCCCCAGTACCCCCCACCCACTCCCTAGATCATCGGTTGACGACGCCCTTGAATAGGCGGAACCTATGCAGAGAGCTAGTAAAAGATGTGGTGATTTAATTCTCGAAGCGATAAAACATCTTTTGTAGGAAATTATATTTTACTACGTAAATCTCAGATTCAAATAATTTTAGACAACTAGATCAAGGTTTGAACAACTTTTTTTTCATGTTTATGTAACTTCAAGGTGATTTTAAATACGAGATACTATATGATCTTACCAAAATTGTATTAAGTAAACCTAAGACAAGAAATTACAGTAACATAAACACAAGAGAGCAGTGCTCTTCTTCGGCACACGATCACTGAAGCTGCATAGCATAGACCTAATAAATTCTAAATCTGATTTATTCCAATAGGGTCACGTTGAACAAGTTTCTAGAGAAAATCAAAAGAAGCGCAAACAAAATTTAACTTTTCTTAAAGCACGTTCAAAGAAATATAAAGAAGAAATTTCCAATACACAATCAGAAATTGAAAATTCGAAACAGATGATTTTTCAAAACAGTTGCTATGGTAGAAAACTGTTAAGGTAACAGTACTGGTTACTTACACTTACATTGAAAAAAAAAACTTTTTTATTATGTTTTGTATTTATTGTAAGGTGTAGGAATGTATGCATATATGTCCCATGTTGCAGTGCGCTTCTTGAATCAAAAATTGTGGAAGAAAGAAATTTGCAGATACAGTTTCAAGCAAAATTGCAAGAAGAAGCCAAAAAACGTGAACAAGACGAGCTAGCCAAAATGAAGTTGTATAACAATATGTCTTTTAAGCAAGAAGATGAAACAATAATGAAAAGAAAACAACTATCCAAAGAAATTTCTAATATAAATCAATGCATGTAAGTATGTTATTTTGAAAATCTCCCAATCGTATGAACGCTATGAATTAAGAGACTGGGAATTAAAATTATACCTATGTGTGTTTCAAAATGTAAGTTTCTTTCTTTAGATGATTTAGATTTTGAGTCGTTTTTAGGTCGTCGGTGAATGCTTTCGTAAATAGAAGTGAAATATACAAAACTCTTATTTCAATGAATAATTAAACTCTAACAAGAGCTTGTTATATTTTAAGATTTTAACTGCTAGATGTTTAAATCTAAATAAAATGGTACTAGAAAAAGAGATGTCTTTCTACTATACTTATAATGTAAAGAATATTCATTTAGTTCATTATATTTTTATATTTAAGCATTTAACTGCTTGATGTTTAAATCTAAATTTATTTATTCTAAAATAAAATGCAGCCCCGTGCAGCAAACGGGACCCAAACCCTTTAGGGGTGCGGATTCGAGTCCTGTCTGCTACTCTTCTTTAGATTAAAACAATTACGTTAATATTAAATGGCTAATGTGAAAGGCGAAATAACATTTTATAAGAAATTTGATTTACTAACACACAACGCATGCTACTATTTGGTATACCTATAGGCATAACCTGAAACTAACTCAAGATGCTACGCAGAAAACGAAAATTGAGAATGAGGAGCGGGAATGTGCACTGCTTACTCGAGAACTGCTCGAAAATGAAACAAAGCAACAAGTATGTGAATTTGTTATTTGCTTAACATTTTGCTCATTACTTTTTATACAAAATACAGTAACGTTAGCGTTTTCTTCACTCCAACCTAATATTCATAAATTCTCTACCTAATTTGTTTGTGATTTCTATATATAGGCCAGTTGTATTTTTTCCGAATACCTCACGAACGAAAACACAATTTGCTAATTTTTGAATAAAAGTTGTGATTCACGTTATCTTATATATAAAATTCTCGTGTCACAATGTTAATTACCATACTCCTCCGAAACGGCTTGACCAATTTTTATGAAACGATGATGCCAGGGTTTGTAGGTAAACTGATAAAATACTTTTTGAGAAAATGAAATCAAAGTTTCGAGGTACCGTGTGATCCTATTTATTTACTGTCGTCCAGTGTATTAGGCTATATCAATAATTCCGGACAAATCTATCAGCCCACTTAGTGTTATAAGTTTCAAGTTTCAACGGTCTGTAGAAAAAATATTATTTATGGTTGAGCAATAATTTTAAAAACACACGAAAACATTGTTATTAAATCAGCTTGAAAACTGCGTAAGTAATAACGTTTTGCTCAATGTAACATTTATTTTTAGCTAGAGACCGTCAAAACTTAAAATGCTATTTGGGCCGATAGATCTGTCCTGAAGTGTACCTAGTTCAATTTTGATCAGAGAGAATATGAAGAATGTGTTTATCGAAATATGAAAAAATACGAAAAACAACAAAGAGAATGGAGAGAACGTAGGAAGGAAAGAGAAAAAATCGACGCAGCTTTAGCGGATATTCAACGTGTAGAGCAATGGAACAGAAAATTTAAAATACAACGTGTGATGCAAAAGGTACCTAAGGTCTTACCTAAGGTTCGATTTAGGAACTTGCTTCCATCCGCGACTTTCTAAGCGTTAATATTAGTTAACGCATTAATAAACAATTTTCCGGTTGCAACCAAGTAATAAACTATGTGCCTGCCAAATTTAATCCAAATCCATTCAGCTTTTTTTGCGTGAATGAGTATTAAACAAACATGCAAGCTTTCACATTTATAATATAAGTCAACGATATTAAAAAACATCGTTGATATTAGTATACTTATTGAAAATTCTAAACAAAAAACATGCAAGCGCTCAAAGTTACAATTGCAAGAAATTACAACAAAAAAAAGTCAAGTAACTGAAATACGTGACTGTAAATCATCGCAGAGGTACCAACTTTAAGGGCTTTATTTGCGAAGTAATTGATTTTAACCAATCTTTCCATAATGCCCATAGCTCCATCGGGACAAACAAGATACAGAGCAATCACGAAATCATTATGAATTGGTGAAAAAAGTCAACGCTGAAGTGAAGTCTCGTTACGATACGTTTTTAGAAGCTGGAATAAAACGGCAGGAGGATAAGTAAAAACATTACTTATTTTGCTAGGCTTGCTTGTTGTCCTCAATAGGCCGCGCACTTACCTCCTAGCGCGGGTAGTCCTGCGCACGTCTGCGGCATGTCCCGGCCTAGGCCGGGAGGCTGTTGGGCGCGGAGACGCGGTGAAGTCCCACAACGGGGATCTCGCGGTTCCAAACTTAACAGCGTAGAGCAGTGGTTCTCAAACTTTTTAAATGACGGAACCCTTTTGGGAAGCAAAATACTTGATGGAACCCTACAATAAAACAATTATTTTTATAAGTGTATTCTATATTAATCAGCATAATAAAAGTACAATGTATCCGTTACTAATTATTATTTACTTCACCACTTGGTAAGGACAATAATAGAAAACATTAAAAAAGAAAAAATCTAACTAGTGGGAGGTATGAAACTGTTTTTTATTTTTCATCAATTGCTTGATATCAGGTTTGATGGAAGAAAGTTGGAGTCTCATATCAGCTTCGGCGTCCAGTCTATTGCGATATTTTGTTTTCGTGGCTGCGTAGGTAGAGAATCCTGTTTCGCACAAATATGTAGTTGGGAACGGGAGAAGAATATCCAGAGCCATTTGGCCAAGCATTGCATATTCATCTTGGATTCTGCACCAAAAATCATTAAGAGGCGTCGTTTTGAACAATGACTCCATACTTGTGTCTGATGACATTTCTAAAAGAGATTCATATATCTCATTTGACATGTTTTCAGGCTTTTCCAAGTTGGGTAAAAAAGGATTATGAATCCAGGAGTTCACTTTAATTTTTGTATTGTGTTCTTCGGGAAAATACTTTTCAAAAGATGCGCGCATCGAACTGAGATATTGGACCAATTCTTCAAACACATTATCTTCAAACATTTCTGAGTCGTTTTCGCTAACAAACTCAGTGAGTAACGTAAAACTTTCTATTTCTTTCTTACCAATGCAAATGATCCAAAAATCTAATTTTCTTTTAAAAGTAGTTATTTTATTATAGGCCTGAAACACTGTTGTCTGTTTACCTTGCAATGATAAATTTAATTCGTTAAGTTTTTGAAAGATATCCGCCATAAAAGACAATCGGAACAACCAAGTTTTATCATACAAACGGTCCTTCAAATTAAAAGAAGTATCTGCTGAAAGAAACATTTGTAACTCGGCTCTAAGTTCAAATAGCCTTGTTAAAGTTTTTCCCCGAGACAGCCATCGCACTTCTGTATGGAGCAGCAGTGTTTTATGTTTGCTGCCATAATCTTCACACAATAATGAGAACAATCGGGATTGTAGTGGTCGTGATTTGATAAAATTAATTATTTTTACCGCTTCATCCATAACTAATTTTAGATTAGACGGCATTTGCTTCATCGCAAGTGCTTGTCTATGCAGAATACAATGACTGGAACTACAATTAGGCGCTTTATTTTTCATTCGTGACACTGCTCCTGCTGTTTTACCTGTCATCGCCTTGGCCCCATCTGTACAAATGTCAATGCAATTGTTCCAACTGAGATTATGTTCTTCAAAAAATATATTTATTTTATTAAAAATTTCTTCCCCGGTAGTGTTTGTAAGCAGCGATGAACACATAAGCATGTCTTCTTCAAAAGAACTTTTATATGGATATCTCACAATAACCAGCAGGATAGCCAAACCAGCGACATCAGTCGACTCGTCCATTTGCAAAGCGAATCGTGTATTTTGTAGACGTGTAACTAGTTCTTGTTTGACGTAGCTTGCCAGATCATGGATTCGTCGTGAAACAGTATCGTTTGATAGCGGAACAGTAGAAAGATGCTTTGCAGATTTTTCATCAAGCATACATTTTGTTATGTCTAATACACATGGTTTTATTAATTTCTCAGCGATAGTGTGCGCTTCACCTGCTTGTGCAATGCGATAGCTAACTAAGTATGATGCCTCCGTGGCCTTTTCGTTGGTAGTTTGTGTTACATGCATCATATTTTTTTGACTTTCTAATAACTGATCTTTTTTGCGAACAAAAAATTCTTTATTCTTGTCTTTAGTCTCGGGGTGTACGGTTTCTAAATGTCGACGCAATTTGGCAGGTGCCATGGAACTATTAGGAAGCAGTTTACTACAGAGCATGCAGAGAGGTGAGCCGTTGGAATCAACAAATCCGAAACTGATATAAGATTCATCATACTTCCTTTTTTTCGTCTTTGAAACCGTCGAGCTTGACGTCGTGGCACTCGTGGCATCATCTTCTGGATCGGTGATTGCTAAATTCTCCGCGCGCATTGCTTTTGAACATTCAGCGTCATTAGAAGATGTTGTTGGAACACGTTTAACACCTTTAAGCCAACGTTCCATTCTTCTTTATTTATAATGTTACAAGTCAGGATAGTGGGGTTTAAATAATGCACAATCGTTACTGCGTATAAGAGACTAAATTTAGAACCTACAGGGAAGAAATGTATAAAACTGAGACAACAGAATACAGCAGGCAGTAAAACAATGAACACCAGTTTCTCGCTAGCGAGCTTGTAAGTAGGTAGTAACTTATCGCTCCGAACGCTAATCATCAACTGACGACGCCAACGCGCGATCGCCGCTTTTATACTTAGTCCTAGACTCGATCTCAAATATTCTCGAAAATACTCGAGTCGGCACCTTTGATAAACAAAAAGCAAAAATAAAAACAGAAATTTAAAAATAGCGTTGTAAACAATATCGACTTTATCCTTTGAAGTTAGAGACGAAAGTCGCTAGTTGACAACTATAGCGTCTAATTCAGAGGCGGCTTTTATCAAAGAGACTGAGCGCTTACAAGTATACTACCCGCTCGTTTTAAGTTTGCCGCTGGCGATAGGTATGAGTGTATGACGTTCGAAATTTTTTATTTAATTGTAACAATAAAAATTGTGTACGTTAGATATTTGGGTAAAACTATGACACATTATAAGTTTTGTTGTCACGTGGGGGAGGGTACGCGCATTCCACAGACCGGCAAACTTAGAGCGAACGCGTTGTACAAGTATAAAATTGTTGAGACCAAACTTATGAGATATTGTACCAGCTAATGTAACACAAGCTTATACAAATACAAATAAATAAATAAATAACATTCATAGCGTTTTGTCTCCGCGCGGCCGCGGAGTCCGCACAGCCGCGGAGCGACCAGAGAGAGGTGTTTTGATTTTTTTATTTCTAAATTCTTGCGGAACCCCGACAGAGGTATCACGGAACCCTAGGGTTCCGCGGAACACACTTAGAGTATAGCTGGCGTAGAGGGTATTCGCAGGGTTTTTTAGCGGATAGTATGCCGTAAGCGCCCGTAAGCCGCAGGGACTGCCTAACGGCTTCTCCGTTTCGCACCCGTGAGACTTGCAAGAGGCCAAGTGTGAAGTCCATTAATTGGTGTGCCCCTTAAGGGCGTCAACGTCTGTAAATAGAGATTTTGCCTGCGTAAAAAAAGGCTTGCTTGCTGCCCTAGCATATTTTACAAGCTTTTGTTTAGTTTCACCTGTCTCACATAATTTACCAATAAAATGGTGTATTCCTTATAAGATTCAAATCAATTTATTTACATATTAAACTTGAAAATAAAATAACAAAACGACTCGTCGTTGGTTAACCGGGACAGAGAATTAAATTGACCGCCCCTTTAAGAATTAGCTATTAGAGCGATATTAGTAGAAACCTGTTAAAGCAATAAGAAGCACGGCACGGCTCTTGGTTTTAATTTTTATAATTGCTAGGCTTGCTTTGTTTAATTATAAAAATTAAACACAAGAGCCGTGCATTATCGGTAATTTGGTGTAGTCTCCGAACTATCTATCGAACCGTGACTTGGAGATGTAGCTATGTATACTGCAGCTGACCTGAGCTACCTATTTATAAGGAGGGATCATTATAAATATCATCATGATCAGCCTGTTAATGTCTCTACTGCTGGGGCGCAGGCCCTTCCTGTGGATGGACTGGGCCGTGACCCACCACGAAGGCTCAGAGCAGATTGGTGAGTGATAACGACGGCAGATGTAGCCGAGGCCATCGGCTTAAAATGCCTTCCGAAGCACGAAGAAGCTTGAGATAGTAAGTTTTTTGTCACCCATCCAATGACCAACCATTGTAAAAGTTGCTTAACTTTCACGATCGCAGGCTGAATGCGCTAACCACCTGCGCCATCGAGCTCATCATTAATTTATCGTCGCTTTTATTTCAATATTAAGAAGATAGTAGTAGTCTTGAGTCGTGATAAGTTTCTATAAGACTTACCTACGTTTGTTTGATAAGTAAATAAATATAACAAACGTTTTAGATTGTCTAATAAAGAGGAAGAAGAGTTGCATAATTTGAGATTAAAAAGGAAGAAATGTTATGACATCGCCCAAGAAAACATGAAGGAAGCGCAGGCGCAGCAGCTTTGCCCCTGCAAGATAGCCAACAAAAGCGTCTGCGACAGGCAAACCCTCTTCTGTAACTCACACACCATAAACAAGAAATCGACCAATGAACCGAACGAAAGTAAGTGAATTCCAAAAAGTAGTTTCTTATTAATAATGTAGTGTGCCCCGATCAACAATCATTGTTGATCTTAAGTCTCGAGCGCGTGTTTTGCCCTACACAATCAACAAAAACATATCAACATTCAACAAAACCGTCTACACAAAACTTTGTTTCACTACACATATTTGTTTGCATCAAAGTATTTTCTTTCCATGCCCAATGGAAAACTCGGAAACAAATGAGGAGGGAGAGGGGCAGGGTATTGTTTAATCGACCATTTTTGTTGACAACTCGACAACGGGCCAACGGGGGCTGCGCTCCAAATCTAAGTACGTTTTTTATGCACATTTCAATTTTGACATAAAACGTATGAAACTATTGTCAAATTTGACGTCTGTCACATGCAACAGACGTCAAATTTACGATCTATGCGATCGTAGGTTTGGAACGCAGCTCTGTGTATTTTTTGTACGACAGCCACGTGAGCAAGACGGCGTATGTCGAGAAACATGTTTCAGAAACAAAAGCTTTGTGTATGTGTTTTTGTCGTTGTTCTTAAAAATCTTTTATTGGAGACCCGGCTTAAGATAGCGTGGTTAACAAGTGTACGACTATAGGCTGGTAATATTAACCTAGCCTAACCAGAAGACGCTATGGTGCCGAGACTGTAGCCTGAAGTTTCACTCATACTGCTTAATAATAATAATTTCTTTATTTCAGGCAATTGACCCATATTATGACAATTGACAAAACTAATAAAAACCCTAGGTGTATATATTATAATTATTTATCTTACTATTACTTATACAATACTAAAATTATATAAAATAGGACTACCTGAATGTTTATTTCAGACTGCCATTCCCAAAACGATGAATTTTGTCGAATGCCTGAAATATACATTGTCCACGTCATCATGGATGTTGCGGAGAATGGAGAAAATTAAGGGATGTCAGAGATTTTTAGCTTTTGTTTTACAGAAAAAATATTTTAGAGGGCACGGATCTGAAAAAAATTACCTGTATTAGAGGGTTGGTAAAAATTACATTTTTATGTTACAGAAAGCGCAGTTTTAAATACAAAAAAGGAAAGTTTTCTGTATCCATCTAAAAAGCTGATCGAAGCACTAAAATTGCGCAAACAAGAGGCTTCGCCCTGGAATGGATTGACTGGAGCACACGCTACGTTCGCCCGAAACGCCGCAGACACGTTGAAGGAATGCCGACACAAAATCTTTGCGAGAAAAGTCGTGGATGTAAGACATACCTAACTATAGAACCAAAACTAATAAAATAAGTAGAAAAAGTAAAACGAGACTATCTACGAAAGAAAACATTTTGCAGTTCCAGAAATAGACCATCGTCTTCATCCTAGGTTGAAAAGATATGTCTAGTAATATAACCTGTTAGAATCCAACATCGAATGCAGCGAAGTGTTTAGTTACTGCATTATTGCACCAATAATAAAATAATAGAAATGAATTAATTTAGGTTAGGTTACGATGAGGCTGGCATTTTTCTATAAGAATAAAAGCACCTAAACAGCCTCCTTTGCTGTAGAAGGATCTTGGACAAACTAGCGTACATCGGGGGCAAAACGATTTTGGCCTGCCTGCATGTCTCTCATGTCAAGTACTCTTACTACGATCTAATATCGAATTCGAATAGTTTGCTATGACATTTCGCACACGCAAACTATTCGAATTCGATATTGGTTTGTGCTAGGGGTACGGATCCAGAGTAAACCAGTGTTGTTGATGAAGTGCGACTTGTGCGCACGGATTTTGCTGACAATCCAGCTTACCGGTACCGGGATGCTTGGTTCGGAGCCATTTCGACTTTAATGCAAGTTTATCCGCAGCGTGGTTTCCTCGTGATTTGCTGTGTTCATAAATTCATTGAATAGAAACGGAATGAACGATATTAAATACCCTAAATACACCAAGTGCGCTGAAAATGTGTCCCAATCAAGAAGTGCTTAAACTCCAACCAAGCACTTCATGATTCACAGACACACGCGGATCCGTGAAAAAAAATGAAAAATCACTTATAGTACGTAAACTGTCGTGTTTTCGGTAGGTATCTAATCAACGCTTTTGTTAATTTAACGCATTTGAAGCAAATTTTGTTCTCATTCTTACTATAAACTGATTTAATAGCAAATATTTCTGATATTCAAATGCATGGTCGGTTATATAACCAGCACTTTTTCTCGCGGTCCGTACCTGCTATACTGCTAACAGCGCATTCAGAATTGCGCGTAGAGTCAAAGAAACAAGGTCTATATTCTTCGGCATATAGCAATAAGTCGTAAAATTTTACGAGATTGCAAATCGGACTGCCATAACTCTGTAACGCATGCGTTTAAATTAAGACCTTATACAGTATGCATATAAGGCGACTCTCAATGTTTAAATAATGCCTTATAGTTTTTGACAACGCGATCATCTTACGGAGCTATGTAGATCGTCAAATGTACCTATTGGACAGGTTTCTGCCACAATTGTGTTCGTGTTGTTGTATCTAGGGTATTTAATATTATTAACGAAATTGCGTAACCCTACCCTAAAATTGTCGTTTTCAAGATTCCTTCATTTCGAAAAAAAATCATCAAAATCAGATCAGCAGTTTAGGCGTGACAGACGTACAGAGTTACTATTACATTCCATTTCATTATACTTATTACGAATTCATTTCAATAATGGTTTCTTAAGATATGAGCTGTATTTAGAAAGATTTTAAAGATTTTTAATCAGTTATTATTTTTCAGGAATATAGAAAGAATAATGGTTTGGATGCCACAACGTTGCCGATCGACAACTACTTTTGATAATTTATTATAATCTTTCTGATTGTGAAAATAACTGAATCTGAAAAATAAAACATACTTTCGACAATCATTGTACTATATTTATTTATATTTGTAAACTACAAACATTAATTATATACAAAACTTTATCTTCCACATTCCATATACATATCTTTCAGTTACAATTTGCTGCGGTCCATATCAATTTCTACAATAATCAAGATTAAAATAAGATGCTCAAAAGATTATTTTCAAATTCGGAAAGATGTAAACACATTTATGCCTACATATTAAATATCATAATAAATAGTTGCTTGATCACATGGATAGGAATAGAAAGTAATCATATACCGTACAAAGTGATTTTTTTGTTGCATTTCCTACATAAAAATGATTGCAGAAAGGCATATGTACATGCCTATAATTGTTACATTTACCTAAATTTAACTATCAAAGTTTAAGTGTCTTTGAATGACAACGGAATTCTGATTGAAACGGTAGAAAAAAACAGCATTCGGAAACACTTAACCAATGTTAGTCGGAAATAGCACTTAACACTAGCCGTATTTAAGGTTTTGTACTTAAGCTCATCGAGACCACAAAACTGTAAAATGGTTAAATTATAATTTAAAAAAATATCTACTACATATGGTAGATAATTACGCTCCTCGCTAAACACTAGCACATTCGACTGCTTTAGCACAATCTGACATTAGTGTCACGCACACATTGCGCGAAACATGAGCCATTTTCTCTGCGTGATTTATTTTAGTAAATATTTTTTAGACTATTGCTTACATGTCAAGAATCCCGATGTTAGGTTGCGCTTTCACAACTTCTATTTTCGATTCTACGCCGAACTCCCAACGTTCAAAATAACATAGCAGTCATAAGGTCTACCTGAATTGAATTTAGGAAATCGAATGAGCTTAGTGTATTTCCCTTATAGATGGTAGTTTAGTATGGCGCAGTCTTCTGCTTAAGAACTGCCTGCACGCACTTCGCCATGGTGGGCGATGCGCGACTGATCGCGTCCGTCATGAAGTAATCTTCCAGTTGTTTCAGCTGTACGTCCAACTTGCCTGACACCGGCTTTTGAAGACTCTGTTTCCAAACACATAATGTTGCTTTTTGATTGACAACTTTTAAATCTAAAGAAAAGTTTACTAGAAAAAAGTCCACGCGGACTAGGCAGCAGACGGGACTCGAACCCGCACTCTTCGTTATCCGAGCGAAGGCACTGACCATTATGCTACCGCGGCCCTGACGGCCGTGTCGAATTTTCTCTAGCCTTAGGCTACAAGGCAGCACCATCTCTTCGCATTGAATTTAACCCACAATGTCAAACGAATACTTTTACAAGTATTATTTGAAAGAAGAAATAGCAATTTTAGTTCTGTCTTTTATTTTTTTAACATTTAACCACTAGATGTATAAATCTAAAAAAAGTTTAAAAGTTTTTAAATATTCCACGCGGACCAGGCAGCAGACGGGACTCGAACCCGCACCCTTCGTTATCCGGGCGAATGCAATGACCATTATGCTACCGCGGATGACGAGGCCTTGCAGCCTAAGGCTAGAGAAAATTCGACACTGAGAAATTTATTGTTATTACCATGGGACGATCTTATGCTACAACGCAAAGATAAGCGAGTTACCAGAACTTTATGAAAGCGATACTTTTGATGGCGCAAGCGTCTATGCGCTATGATAGCTCTACAGCTATCTCCAACACCTCCGTACTTCGGTAGGTACGTTAAGCTGTTGAGACCGTCTGCATCTGCAGTCGTTAGCACCTACCAATCCGCACAGGGCGGGCATGATGTGTTATGGCACAATCTTCCTATTGAATCCAAAGGGAGAGCCAGGCTACAACTAAGGCACGCGACGTCCAGGTTTTTTCCAGTTTTGACGAGTGAAAAAGCTGTTTGTATTCATTCCTGAATCCATGTTATACAATATCCATATTATCTATATTACACTTACGACAATAGTAACTACATTTCTAAAATGCTAATAATATTGATACAGACGTGATTCTCAGGATTTGCGACTGGATTTAGCAGTGTTCTTCACTTTTTATTCATTGTAGAGCATAACAGACTTGTCGTGGTTGGTTTTGGATTCAGAGGATCATGCCGCGATTGGGCCATTATTTTATTCTGTCTGGTAATTTTATTTTTAAGTCTGTTAAGAAAATTATTTTATGTTACTGTTAAGTGTTCAGCAATGATGAGGTCTCAACTTTAAGTAGAGCTATATTCTATCCTAATAATTAAATATATGAGTAAGTCTGTTTGTGTTAATATAGCTCTGCTGATGGTAAATAGATCGATAATAAAATAAATAAATTCAGAACAAACTTATCTACATTTAATAACCATAAATGTCACGATATAATTAAGAGCCTTTTTACAAAATTGCCGTACTGATCGGCGCGTAGATAGATTTGCACTAGTATATATTGCATTTTACGGGTGATATTTCGAGTCTTATAAAATAATTCGGAATGAACTAATTATAAAAATATATACATATTTCAGTAATTCAATGATGGTAGATTAGTTTTATGAAAGTTTTTGATAGTAATTATATTTAATTCAATATCAAAATAGGTACAGCAGGTTACATGTTTTTTTTTGATAATTAATGAGATGGAAAATCAAAATTCTAATACATTATGTTACAACAAAAACATATTTCTGATATCGTAGTAATTAATTTGATCTTATTTATTAAAAATTTTTGAGTGATTGAGGCGTTTCAAGTTGTGCATATTATCGTTTTTTCCGTAAACTAGCGGCAGTAGAACGATCAGTACAAAAAAAGGAAAATAGTATTTGCAAATACTCCACATTAACTTACAATAGGAAAAATAAATCTACTGTTTACTTTTCTAAGGTGGTAAACGAGGCGCTCAAAAATTACGTTTTTTTGCAAAAAATGTGAAAGGGCTCTTAACAATCGGAAAAAAATTGGCTGACAATGTGTTATACTGACCTTGGCGAGAGCTCTAGCTTGCGCAAAGTAGTTATTAGGCTGCACATCTCCGTAGGCGACTAGCGCGGGGCTCACTTGGTTGAGACGTTCGCGTACCTCATCCAACGTGTCGTACGGCAGACCCGCACCAGCCACTTCCGACAGGGCCCTGAGTGACAAATTATGAGTGAGGTGTATAACGGAACAATTGCATGACGCAAACTTCAATCAAAATCATAAGCACGAAATTCTTGACATCTATATTATTTTAAACTTTCACTGGTCACTAAAATTGCAGTAATTTTTGATATTGCGGGATTGCTATCAACTTGCGCGCTTACAACAGTGCCAAAATAAAACACGTGGTAGCCCATTACGCTAATAACAAATATTACTGTTATTCTTGACATTTGAAGCGTGTCGATATCGAATTCAATTATTAGAATTTGATAATGGTTCGAGTTTAAAGTACAGATGGTATACAAGTGATGAGCTCAAGATAGTATACAAAGGCCCTGAGTGAGTGATTACGAGTGAGGCGTACATATCGGAACAATTCCATTAAACAGTGCTACGGTTGCCAGATGAATCGGGAATCGCTTGGATTCTCCCTACATATAATCCGATCTTCCGACTGCGTAAAAGTAACGAAATTTCCCGATAAAAGAACATTACGTTACACCTATCGTTTACCCTGTATCACAAGAGTTATTTGGAAATGATACACGAGACGTGGGCTCGTGCACTGATTGCACTTGCCTAATTCATTTATGACTTACAGAAGACGTTTGATAAGGAAGGGTGAGGGGGGGGGGGGGGGTGCAATTCTCCAGAAAAGAACCCGATCGAATTCTTCACGTTTTTGTGTACCAATACTCTATAAAATCTTATTGCTTACCTGATGAGCTTCCAGTCCTCTAGTGCCAGTCCTGGCGGTGTCACCGCCACTAGGGTCTGTTGAGCGCGTCTTTCGACGTTCACGTATGTAGCGCGTTTCTCAGTAACTATACATGGCACGTATATTCTAAACAAATAATTTAATTGCTTACCTGATGATCTTCCAGTCCTCTCGTGCCAGTCCTGGCGGTGTGACAGCCACTAAGGTCTATTGAGCTCGTCCTTTAGCATTCACTTATGTAGCGCGTTTCTCAGTAACTATAAATGGCATCAATATTCTAGAAATATTGATCTTATTGCTTAGCTGATGATCTTCCTGCCCTCTCATGCCAGTCCTGGTGGTGTGACAGCCACTGGGATCTTTTGAACGCGTCCTTCGACATTCACGTATGTAGTGAACTACACATGGCATCTATATTCTAGAACAATAGATCTTATTGCTTACCTGATGATCTTCCAGTCCTCTCGAGCCAATCCTGGCGGTGTGACAGCCACAAGGGTCTGTTGAGCGCGTCCTTCAGCGTTCACGTATGTAGCGCGTTTCTCAGTATATGCGGCTCCCGGTAATACTATATCGGCGATACTGGCGCCCGCGTCTCCGTGATGACCTATTACAACAATAATAGTTTCCAGTGCACACAATTACGAAAAGCTATTGTCACATATGTAACGGACGTTCGATCTTTCTAGAGTTCCAGACTCGCCAGTAGGACTAGGCTGTCGCTTAACGTCTACTCGGGATTCGAACTAACGATGACTGAGCACTTGGGTGTAATCCTTAGGATAAGAACACTATGACAGCTACCAATTAATATACTAATATGAACCTTGACATTGCGGCATAAGGATCAGTATGCAATAACACCTATTAACTTCACTTTAATACTCTGTATAGTGACGTATGTATATATACTCTGAGAAGTTCGATGGCGCAAGTGGTTAGCGCATTCGGCCTGCGATCGTGCAACTTAAGCAACTTTCGCAATAGTATTCATTGAATGGGTGACCAAAAATTTGTTATCTCGATCTCCTTCCTCTTCGTGCTTCGGAAGACATGTTGAGTCAATGATCCCGGCTACATCTGCAGTGGTTAACACCCACCAATCTTCAATGGGCTCGCGTGGTGGGTCACGCCCAGCCTACCTATTCCATTCATAGGGAAGGCCTGTACCCTTAAAGTGGGGACATTAATAAGCTGATGACGATGATGGCACGCGCTCAGGGTAATCTCCGAGTATATATGTATGTTGAGGTCAGAGATAAATTACTACATTATTCCACATCATATATAGAGTAACGTCGCTTAAAACGGACTCGAAATCTTCATTCAAATAATAATAAAAAAAAATGGGTGCGTGTACTTATGTAGGCGCGTGAGAAGTTATCCTTCTTTGGCATCGTTTAAAATTAGTTTTTAATTGCATGCAAATAATTAATTACAATAAATTAATAAAAAGTCTGGAAAAGGACACAGTCAATAAAGTTCAGTTTTAATTTGAAAAAATAAATAAATAATCAAAATATTCAACTAAAAGCGCTACTGAATATAATTTATTAGAACATATGTGATTTGCACTTGTATGAAACTCAAACACGTATTCCGAATATACAAACTAGAAACATGTGGATAAATATTATAAATATGAATACCTATAACTGTTACTTTATTACAATAATAACATAAAAGTAACATTGAAAAATAAAGATGTGGTTTTTGGTTCTACTACACCAATGGTCAAGAGATGGCGCTGTAGTCTCCTGAATCGCGCTTTGGTTCCGTTGTTCCAGATTAATAAATACTTTTGATAGGCCTTCACAATGCAGTCGTTAGCACCCACTAAATAGAGATTCTATTTCTATTTTGTTGGTAGATTTTCTTAATGTGCGGTAAACACAAAAGTAACAGCATGAAGTTGGTCCCTAAAGCGACCAACTTCATGCTGTTAAAATTTTGTCTTACAGTGATGCGCGCGCATCTTAAAATTTCACTCTCATCATTTTTTCATAACGCGCCTAAAGAAGTATAACTTCAATTATCCATGTTCTATTAAAAATGCCGAAGAATAGACATACCTGAAACTTTTCACACCTTATCCGTAAAAAATAATGTTTTTTTCGTATAGGAGAAAAGGAGAATACAGATCTGATTGATAGTATGAACGGAAAGGCGAATGCCCTCTTATTATGAACAAAAGTTTTGATGTTATTATTTTTGTGTCCTGGTAAAAATTCGTATACTGAAATAAGTTATTATAAAAATGTCACATACCAAATTTATTTTGAATTAGTTATAGGTGTAAAGAGATATAGATCAAAATGAGTTTATATTTTGGTTATAGCGGATTCACTGTAATATGGACTCTAAAACAGTCGTATTTAAGATTTGCATTCATTTTTAGATGCAATTGACGTATTGCTGTTCTACTCATAATTATTTTATCATAACCACTACATTGTAAATGAAAACGAAGAAATTACAATACTAAAGACAAGGCTGTATCGACTTCACGATTCCCCTTGCCTTCCTGATTCTCATTGATAACCAAAAACAAAACGAATGACATTTGAAGTCGTTTGTATCAAATGTATTACCTACAAATGCTTCTTGTTTTAATCTACGATTGCAAAATCAATTTTCAATTAATAAAGGTACTCTGCATTTTTATAAACATACCAAATAAAAATAACAAGTTTCGGTCAAATAATCAATTAAAGATAGGTAGTGACTCAAAAATAATAACGGAATAATGTTTAAGCTGCAAAACGAAAGTAAAGTTTAAAGGAAATCAACCCTAAATGGAATAATTAATAAAATAAGCTGAAGTGTTTCAAAATTATTTTTTTATTTTTTTGCTGAAAATCTTGTATCAGCTTTTTTTTTGTAAATAGTACATGGCGATGGGTATTCTTCTTTTTGGTAAATTTATGGTAAAGATATATATTCTGTATGCCTAATTTCATCTAAATCGGTTCAGCGATTTAAACGTAAAAGGTAACGACAGACTTTCGCATTTAATATATTAATTAAAGGAGCTCGATGGCGCAAGTGGTCAGCGCGTTCGGCAGCGATCGTTGAAGCTAAGCAACATTCGCAGTGGGCGGTCATTGGATGGGTGACCATTAATTTACTATCTCAGGCTCCTCCGTGCTTCAGAAGACTCGTTAAGCCGTTGATCGCGGCTGCATCTGCAGTCGTAAATACCCACCAATCCGCACGGGACCTGCGTGGTGTCTCATGGCCTAATCTCCCTATTCCACGCATAGGGAAAGCCTGTACTCCAGCTGTGGGAACATTAATAAGCTTACGATGATCGTAAAGTTAAAAAGGTATCCATCCACAAGCCATTCAACAGTATCCAATTCGACATTTTATATAGTGGTACGCACGCTGTTCATAGCCATACTATGACATATATACATAGCAAACAAAAATTTGTCCCGTTTTTGGTGTAGGTGTTGAGTCTTTTTTATGAGTTGAATTTAAAATCTTTCTTTGCTTTTAAATAAATAAAAAACACTCACACCAATTAGCTTAGCCCCAAAGTAAGCACTATAAGGCTTGTGTTATGGGATACTAGGGTAACGGATATAATACATATATAAGTAAACTTATATAGAAATACATATGAAACATCCATGACTGAAGTACAAATGCTCGTATTCATCACACAAACATCTGCCCCCACCGGGATTCGAACCCGGGACCACTCGAGTCGGCGACACCATAAAACCCGGCGTACAAACCACTCGGCCACGGAGGTCGTCAAATTTATGCTTTAGTTCTTGTTCTAAGTTTATTACCGAGTTGAGACATGTGATGTTCGATTTTAAAAAAACAATATGGCATAGCTCACCCTGATAGATGACGACAGCGTCTTTGGGCAAAGCTTCCCTCGTGACTATTCCCGAGTCAGCGCCCAGTAAGTAGACGACGCGCGGGCCGGCCGCGAGCGCCGCGCCCACGCCCGGCCTGTAGCCGATGTCCAGCGCCGCCACTTGCGACGCCGTGCGTTGCAGCACGTTCAACACCTTTTGTGTTCATCCAATATTAACGAGGTAACAAGGAATATTGATGTTTCTTGCCGAGTTTTCTGGGTGTTTTTAGAAAATATTCTATCTAAAAGACTTCTCCTGCTTTTATACAAAACGTTGGCTAAAGATATGCCTGGACAAACGTCATATTTTGTCATAATTACCTAAGACAGTGGCGCCCTCCCCGAACTCTCATTCACATTCATAAAGACATTTCTCGCACTTTAATAAAGGCGCGTGTGGTTTCGTTGAATGAATTAAGTGTCTTTGCATCGAGTTATTCTCTAGCAACCGGTCGCAAGTCAGTTACAACTTAGACAATAGGCATACCGTTCTCGGGCAGTGCTTTGTCTTCGGGCAGAGCATGAAGAGAATGCACGAATACGAATATTTCGCTACAAAGTGACAATTAGTTTGTCGAAAGTTCTTTTTTTGGCCACAGTACACGTTGCGATCGATTCTTAGTTCTTGCGGTCTATAACTTAGCTAGTTCTAGCCATTTCATTGGCTGGCGACGTTTCATTAAATATTTGAATTCCCATAGGTTAATCACACTTTTAAAAAAAAAATTCTTGCTCAAAAAGGAATTTTATTCAAATATATTGATGAAGGGACAATTCAGTAATAGAGTTTTTATATAAAAAAAATGCCTTATTTGAATAACATGCATATACCCTATTGGCTGGCAAATTTAACCAAATCACTTCATTTTCTACAACTATCACAGGAAGATATAAAATCTCAATATTAGACCAGGATGACTTACCTTCCATTCCTTATCTTGAAGGTTATCTTGCAACCTTAAGGCGAGTTCCTGCGTATAAGCGAGTAAAGCGGCACCCTCTTCGGTCTTCAGCTGATCCGCGCCCAATATCACCACGGGTCGTTTAGCACTCTCTAAACGTTTAAGGATTTCGTTCGAAGATGTGCCCGTCGCTAGATCTTTCACCAGAGATGCCGAATCTCCCACATGCTGAAAAGTGGTAAATCTGTTACAATTCCAACATAATATACTTCTATCTTGACACGTATCATTGTCCACTTTAAGGATTAAGTGTGGAAACCATAACACTTATCGTAGAACATACTTTTAAACATTATCATCGGGTTATTAATGTCCCCACTGCTGGGGCACAGGCCTTCCCTATAGATGGAATAGGATATGGATTCCTGTCCTATGGATGGAGACTAGGACATGACCCACCACGCGGGACCAGAGCGGAATGGTGGGTGCTAACGACTGCAGATGCAGCCGGGATCAACGGCTAAGCGTGCCTTTCTAAGCACGAAGGAGCTCGAGATAGTAATTTTTTAGTCACTCATCCAATGACCGATCACTGCAAAAGATGCTCAACTTCAACGATCGCATCCGAACGCACTAACCACTTGCGTCATTGAGCTCCTCAACTTATAAACACACTAAGGTATAATAAACATTACCGAATCGCAATAAAATGTTTAGGTCACATTATTTGAGAGTATTGTTTACGATGCTCGAAGGACCATTCGTCACTTTGTGGTCTAATGACAGAATAGGCTTCCCTCATTCATCAGACTATAGAATTATTACTCATGTATGTGAGAGCCACTTCGGGCTCGATGAGCCCCACGTCCGTCTTCCTTGTGTATGCGCGCGTTCAGCAGTTGTTTTAAGTTAAATACTAGCGGCCGCCCGCGACTTCGTACGCGTGGAGTTAGTTAGAAATATAGGTTCACTGCTCGTTCCCCGTAGGTGATATCGTGATAATAATAATGCAGTACTTTTTGAGTTTATCCCGGACATACATACAGACAAAAATTTTAAAAACTATATTTTTGCCTTCGGTATCGATTGCAGATCACACCCCAAGTATTCTTTTAAAAAAATATTCAATGTACAGTTTTGAATTTCCTACCATTTTGTTATATGTATAGATAATACACATCTTGTTTAGTACGCACCGTATAATCGTATGTGAGATCCACTTTGGGCCCGATGAGCGCCACGTCGGTCTCCTTGTGTATGAACGCCTTGCGGATGCGCGCGTTCAGCAGCGGCGCCTCGAAGCGGACATTCGTTCCAATCAGAAGGACGAAATCTGCGCCCTCCACGTCTTAACCGGTAACAAATATATGCTATTAAAAAAAGTAAGACATGCGTTCGACACGATATTTAGAAAAAAAATCATACAAAATTTGCCTAAACAAGGCTTGCAAGCTTGTCTAAATTTTTTGTAGTAAGGCCAACTGTGTCTGTAGTACAGATAATTGGCTAGTATTTAACAGCAAATCAAAAAAATTACGTTTAGTATAAAAAATAATTCCCAATCCTAACCAAAAATACTTATTGCACAACAAAATAGTCACCTCAAAATATTGTTAGTAACAATTTAAGTTCGTGATGCATCGCTATTTATTTAAAACTAAAGTTTTTTTAAGAATTCATAGTTAATAATAACCACCTTACAACAAATATTTTACTTAATTTTTTTTTTAAACAATGCTGCCAAATTTTTATCTCATACAGCAGTTTACCTCAGTGAAACACCATTTTAATTGACATAAGAATCTAATTGTTGAGGTAAAACTTCTTTAGGCACGCTTGACTTGGGGGGAAACTGGCGAATGTGTTACAATTTCGAGTTACGATTAGTGTCATTGGTGACTCATCGGTAAACAATGAACAATACCCGTCACAAAATACATGAATCTAGTGGTTGGTGGGTAATAACGTACCCAGCGCGGATTGGTGGATGTTAACGGACCCAGTGCGGATTGGTAAATGATAACGGAGCCAGCGCGGATTAGTGGGTGATAATGGACCCAGAGCGGAGGGTCATAACGGACCCAACGCGGATTGGTAGTTTTTTTTCTATTCTTTATCGATCTATATAATGTATCTTCAGGTTAAGTATATGATTTTCAGATCATTGGAGCTAAATAAGTTTCACTTCATTCGTGTGGTCATAAGCACACTCGCTTTATTTTTATAACCATCAAAAATGTCCCAATGTTGAGCAAGTTTTAAAATGCTTAATGGAAAACCTGTTGCAAAAATTGCTGTTTCGTTATGAGTGTGAGTATTTTGCGTCGAAGCCCTGATTAATTTTCTATGCAATCGGTATATTTGCTGTGCAATCAGTATATTTGATATAAAAATCATTTTTCTGTGCAATTAAACAAGTTTTTGTTACTACAAATTAGATGTATATTTTTGAATTATTTTCAGCACTAGTTTTGTTCAACAAATGTTTTGTTTGCAGTAAAATAATTATTTTGATGAAAAAAGTATTTACTTGCTGTAAATAACTTGATGGGTAATAAGTTATTTGCTGTGCATTTAAAAATATCCCCAGATATTTGCCATGACAAGTACAGATTATTGATTAGGGTGCCACTTAAGGTTTAATATCGGACGGCCAAAATACATCTTAAAACAAGTTAAACCTAGACAGAAACTGATGCTGTCACTTGTGTTTGCTAAAACGAAGGCAGAGACAACAATATCCTGTTTAGTCCTTCAGTTAAGTTATCAAAAAGATTTAGGACACATTTGTCAGATTCCTTTTTGGTCAGAATAAATTATAATGTATTTACTTTTTCTGACAAAAGCGGGAATCCTAGATATAGGATCTAGTTTTATGATCAACGGTAAACTCATGATGACCATGATGGAAGTACTTAGTGAGTATTTTTTATAAAACAATAATATAACAAGACAATTATCACACTCAGAACCTCTTGGTCATATATGCTCTCCTGGTACTTTTTCAATATAATGATTTTATTAATGAAAAAATACAATGGAAGTTAAAACAAACTATAAGCGCATATTCATATTTCCTCAAATTTCCTTCGATTTTCAAATCAAGCATAAATATAAATGATTGAAATTAATTTCATTATTTAAATTATTTAAATATATAATAAACTACAGAACATAAGATTAAGCTTATTGTCTTTTTTTTAGATGTAAATAACAATTAATATTGTAAAACTCTCCCTCAGGTTTTTTCTGACCAAAGTGGAATTCCTTTTTCGTCACAAAAAAATAGCCTACCTTTATTTTGACGAAATAGAAATCTGACGAATGCGTCCTAATTCCTCAAAAAATAATAGACACTTAAATTTAATTTCGTCAATTAACCAATAAGTTACGAAGAGAGAAAGCGCGCCAAAGTATGGGAGTGGGAGCTCGAGATCCACGAGTCTTGACGTCACCTATAAGTAAAAATTGTACCAAGGCATGACTTCATGCTTTATTTAAATTAACATATCTTTGTCATGTTTTGATTTTGTTAGTAAAGAAAAAATACGTGTCTAGTACTTTTTGACAATCCACCTGATAGCCGATGAAAAAACAGGTAGTAATCATTTGCCATGACAAAGCGACATAGATAAAATTGTATAATTGTTCTAACATTCAGTATCATTTACATATGAAATATCAATGACAAATATTATTCTCTTATCCTTTAATTTTGAACAGGGTGAATAATAAAGACTCATTAGCCTTTCTTCAGCCATCTTTAGCTTCTGATGTTATTCGAGTCGTTCACATACCGCAAGCTTTTATAAACGCGCAATGCTACGCCAGCAATTGTCAGTTGTACACTACAGATAGTACATTTAAGATCAATGGATTTATTTCAAGAAAAATCTAGAATAAAGGCTCACTCACTTGCAATCTTTGTATTCAGCAGATATGAAGATCGCAAATCAGTTCCCGATCCTTCCGCTGGGAAGAACTGTTCAGTGCAGGTGTTCTCGGAGCCGAGTCGATTCACGAAGTCTTTCAATGCAACTAAGGACTCTGCATCTGCAAGGTCTCCGGCCACTGCCAACAACTGGAATAAACAATATTTTAGAAGTGTGGAACATACATTTCAATGCATACACTTAAATAACTTTTATTCAAAGACCATTACAAAACATGATCATCAGCCTATTAATAGCACCACTGCTTGTACCAAGACCTTTTTTTTATCTGGAAAAGGCGTTATGCCTCCCAGAACCACCGAAAATAGCGCGGACAGGAGAAGAGGAGAAGAGAGACTCTGAAGAAGAGTCTTCAAACCTACCCAGTAAAAGCCAGATAATACTCCTGCACCGGTCACCCGACACGCACTATGAGGACCGAGGTCAACTTAATCACTCACCAACAACCCATAATTATAAATACATCTATGGTGGATTTTCAATTGGCCTTTTGTAACCAAGCTATGGAAGAGCGGTGCATCCTAACACAAGCAATTTTACTGCTTAAAAGGATGTACCATACTCATACATAGTAAGTAGGCTAAGTTACTGAAATAAATTAATTTTGTATTTGTAACTTAATGCACGTTGGGAGTGCGGGTTGAAACCGTGGAAACGAAGTACTCCACGAACCCGCCGGTGATTGTCCGTTGCCGTACCCACCCCGATGTTGCGGATGAGCGCTTGGGCAAAGACCTTTCTTATGGATGACATAGGAAGAGCGCGCCATGCATTTGACCTGCGGATTGTTGGGTGTTAACTTCTGCTGTTGCAGCCAGGACCAACGTCTTAACGTGCCGTCCGAAGCACGGAGGTGCTCGAGATAGTAAGCTTTTCGTCATCTATCCAATGATCGGCAAGGGCGTCACCAACATTGTGTATCGTTTATATATGTTACTTATGTTATGTCCGTATATTCCCTACAATAACACCGTTACCTTGTCAAACGGAGTCTCGCAATGCTCTCGCGGCGGCCACTATGGCGTCCCCCACTCCATGGGCGTGAGGTTCCCACGACTGTCCTAAATTATGTCACCAACATTATGTATCATATATATATGTTACTTATGTCGGTATATTCGCTATAACACCGTTACTTTGTCAAACGGACAGTCTCGCAACGCTCTCGCGGCGGCCACTATGGCGTCCTCCCACTCCACGATCGTGAGGTTCCCGCGACTGTCCTAATTATGTCACCAACATTATGTATTTTCATATATATATGTTACTTATGTTGGTATATTCGCTATAATAACACCGTTACCTTGTCAGACGGGCAGTCTCGCAACGCTCTCGCGGCGGCCACTATGGCGTCCTCCCACTCCACGGGCGTGAGGTTCCCGCGACTGTCCTTTACCATGGGCGTTACTAAACGCTGGCGCTTAAGCCCGTCGCACGCAAAACGAGACTTGTCCGACAACCATTCTTCGTTGATCTCCTGTTGAAAAGGTTCCAGTTAATCCTTCTCTGATGCTCTGTTATGATACATATTATAGTAGGAAAAAATTAGGAAGAATATAATGAGCAGGCATTTAGGAATTTGACACCCGAAGCAGTTGCAAAAATTGCCCCCTAAAACTTCTTCAATGTTAGAACAATTTTGAAGATTTGATTTGATTAATGAAGATTTTGGTTAGATGTTTTTCTATATAGAATCTTATCAAATAATCGATATGAAGCCAATATAGAGGTTTGTATTAATTAAGACTTTGTCCATTCAAGCATTACCAATTTTATTAGTACGCGTGGCATCGAAAAAGATTGAATTATGCTAAAAATTGCGCGGTTTCATTCTTGCACATGCCTACTCTGCCTCTATAATAAATCCAGGCCTGAGAAAGAGAAAACATACTTAACCAGTTCCAAGCATTTGGGAACAGAAAAGGAAGAACAAGAAGATGCTGCGCAAGTTGAAACATATAATTATGATAATATACTGTGCTGTTCACATAAATTAAAGACAGTTATAAAATTCTTATATTACCTAAGTTTGAGATACATAATTTTCAATAATTACACAATAGCTAACTAAACTTAGTTTTTATTTGAAACAAAAACGAAAACTACCAGAATTCCATTGGCACTCATATTAGGGCTAACGACCAAGTGTAATGGCGCCATAAGTATATCATACCTGTTTCGAAGTATATGATGCAATAAAGAGTATAATACCTCATTGGTTCGTGGAAGAATACGTAACACTTCATTGGTGCGCGTAGCGACGACGATATTGCTACCCAATGGGTCTAAAACATCGACAGAGTCAATCTATAACATAAGACAATAATTTGGGCATTATAATCGATTGATTTTCTTGTTTATATAAGATTGCAGTTGATTAATCACTCACCCTCCTGGTTTCCCAGGGTCGAGCAGCAAAACTGTATGGTTTTGATGTAAGAGCACCTACAGGACACAAGTCTATTACATTGCCAGATAATTCCGAGAGGAACATTTTCTCTACATATGTGCCAACCTGAAAATGTATATTACCTTAAGAAAATATTCAAATATATTTGCAATTTTAATTAAAATAACTGAATGGTATAAGTAAATATTAGCATGAAAAAAACCTGCATGTCTGTCCCTCTACCAGTGGTGCCCAAATCATCAATACCAGCCACTTCAGATGCAAAGCGAATACATCTAGTGCAGTGAATGCAGCGAGTCATAATGGTTTTAATAAGAGGTCCCACATCTTTATCCTCGACAGCCCTGTAAAACAAAATAACCTTTTATGTACCTCTTTTCGTTATTTGGAATACATAAAATAATATATAACGCATTTGATTTCTTAAATTTTGTAACAATCCAAATTATTTGTATACATTATACTGAAAAAATAAATTCCACATTTAATACAAAAATCTTTCATGTCATAAAAAGACAACCATGACCTTAAAAAATGTAATCTTTTACGGTTTTTTTAAGATCACTTTTGACTTTAAGCTTCAGTTGATTACAATAGACTACATACCTTTTTCCAGAGAAATGAATATCAGTGAACCTACTTCTGTCTGAACCAAATGCCATAGATTGATCTTGCAAATCACATTCACCTCCCTGATCACATATAGGGCAATCTAGGGGATGGTTTACAAGCAGGAACTCCATTACACCCTCTCGAGCCTTGCGAGTTAAATCAGAGTTAGTTTTGACTCTCATGCCTTTCATGACTGGCATAGCACATGCAGCAACCGGTTTTGGGGATTTCTCAACTTCCACCAGACACATCCTGCAGTTTCCGGCAACAGCCAGCCTCTCATGGTAACAGAAACGTGGGATTTCCACACCCACTTCCGCAGCTGCCTGTGAATAATATCAAAATTCATGTTTCTTAATAAAACCAAAAATCATATCTGTCTGTTTGTATATTTATAATTATCATAAGAGCCCTTTCACATTTTTTGCAAAAAAACGTAATTTTTGAGCGCCTCGTTTACCCCATTACAAAAGATTTTGACTATTTCCAATAGAAGTAAACAGTAGAATTATTCTTCTCATTGTAGCCAGTTTACGGAAAAAACGATAATATGCACAACTTCAAACGCCTCATTCTCTCAATAATGTTCAATAAATTAGATCAAATTAATTACTACAACATCAGAAATATGTTTTTGTTGTAACATAATTTATTAGAATCTTGATTTTCCATCTAATTATTATTAAAAAAACATCTAACCTCAGCAGTAATAATGCAGGTTTACCTCGTATTTTGATATTGAACTATCAAAAACTTCCATATAACTAATCTACATTGAACTACTGAAATATGTATATATTTTTATAATAAGTTCATTAAATTTTAATTTATAAGACTCTAAACATCACCCGTAAAATGCAATATATACTAGTGCAAATCTAGGCGCCGCACAGTGGGTGAAAAAAAGAGGTCGGTCCCCTTTCATAGGATTTTTGAAAAAATAAAAATGTTTATTATCCGTTTAAGGTATGCGGTTTTATTGGACATATCAGTACATTGAATAATAAAATAGTTTGGGGAATTTCCTTTTAATCTAACACCATAAAGCACGGGCTTTAGAGTTTCAAATGTATGAAAACGGAATTTGTTTTGCTCATAACTTGTATCGGTCTTCTACGGTCAAGCTGAAACTTATAGGGATTATTACCGGGTCTGTTACGAAGCCATGTGACCTTTGACCTTCACCCCGGACGGCCCCGTTCAAAATGCTTATTAGGGTAATTTTGCTTTACGGGGTTATGTGTCTCAATAAACAGTTTGTTTATGTTTCTTGCCCAGCATTTAGTAGTTATTAATATAACACAGATTATTATCTAATAAAACTACACAGTAGATAACGCCACCATACAACTTAACTTTAAATAAAAGCGTCCTAATTCAAAAGATATGGAATTAATATAAATAGATAAAAGAAATAGTTTTAAGAAAAAGAAAACAAGAATACAATATTGTAAAGAATTACAATGAAGTCGTTTACAGCCTACAATTTAATCTTTTGTTTGACAATCGCTTAAAAGCCGCGCGCCATTAACGAGAGCATCATTACATATAAACAATACAAACTCTATTGTTGCAGGTTTTGAGGAATTCAAAGGGTTACCCACAGTCATTACCTGCCGTTGTTTGCCTATAATAATTAATTTTGTCAAACAAACATACTTACACTTACAATGTCTATCTAAGAAAGGGTTTGATCAAATATGTTTATTTTGGGATACCTAGAACTTTAACTGACTAAGCTTAAAATGAACAAAGTGTTTTTCCAGATAAACTAGCTGGTTATTAATATTATTAAATGTAGTAAGGGAGATTCTGATATGTTACTGCCAAACGAGAAAATAAACTATTTACATTATGAATAAAACAAAATTATTAACATCAATATTTTTATTTACAAAACTTAAATTACTAACTAAGCTTGATATCATAAATTAAATAATGCATAATAAGGAAGCCACAACTGTATAAATTACTACACACATGCAAGCTAAAGTATAAAAGATTAGTAGAACTCAAATTGGCTACAACAGTTCTTAAATATGTAAACTGTTTATATTAATATGATACAAAGATACAAAAAAATAAAAATACAAAGTTTGATATAATTTGATTTGAGGGAAAGAACACATACTAATCAAAGTCATACATTACCTACATCTACAAACTCTATATTTTCCTTATCTTCACAAGAAGTTAATAATAATGATTTAGCTTCATTTGTGAGAGGTTTATTTCGTTGACATATTTTAGGCCTGAAACTTGATAGGTATGGGTCAGACGATATTAACAAATTATTGATAATATCTTCATTTGTTGCAATCCTGCTAGATTTACGCAAGTGGAAGGTTCTGAAGTTTTTAAAATCTTTGTTACGAGCTTCAGAGGCCTCTTCAGAGAGCTTGCCGATTGGTATAAAGTTATTGTGCTCTATTATATCGGCACCATGAATGAGTAATTTATGCACGCTTGAGGGCATATAATACCATTCATAGAGCTCGACATATTTGCGTGCTGTAGCAGCACAATATTGGCGGAATTTTTCCACGTCCACAAACTCTCCACATGAGATAGCCTGAAGAATCAATCCAAATCTTCTAACGAGTTCTTCATCAACACCCGTTATTTGAGCAGTAATTTGAGGATTAACAAAAAATCTTCTTGCTGTGTTTCCATCGTTGCTTGTACCAGCCCCTTGTTTAACAACGTCCACAAGTAGCCCCGTTTCAGTCCGGAATTGTTCTTGAATAGCCTTTTTTCTTTGGCTTAACTGTTGCTTCAAATCTTCGCCCTTAGCTTGCCATTTCTTGAAGTCGAGACGGTAAGCAATATGTAAGATACATTCCATGCATCTAATTCGTGCATGGAGGGAAGACAGACCGAACTTAAACATGTCTACAGACTGGGTTCTCTGAGTAACCTTGTCGATATCATTCATTTCTTTTGGTTTTGCTTTGCATATATCGCATGTAGCTGTGGATGTATCTGATAAATGTGAAGTTATTTTACCATCAATCATCGTCATATGCAGAACGTGTTTTACATTTGCACCATCGATAACAGTTGGATGTAGAGCAGCAATTTCCGTATCAATTAAAGTCATTTCTTCTTTAACATTTAAATCGTTCTCTTTAGCAAACTTAAAATAAATGGGTCGACAGTAAAACGTTGAAGACGCTTTGGGGTTTTCCCATATTATTTCATCAGTACCATCTCTCACCAGTTTTAACGGCACAAATGAACACATGAAGATGCTTGAATCATCGCCGTCAATTTTTTGTTGGTAGTTGCTTTGCCCAGATGCACCGTCAAACCCCCATTTACTGATAAGAGTCGAATTACTGCCAATTAAATCAGTTTCCAGAGTTTTTAATAGTCTCTTGACCGTAATATCTAAAATAGACTGAAGTTTAAGTTTAACTTCAGTCTCAGTTATTACCATGTCTTCTTTTTCAACGTAGCAGTCCTTCTTCTCTTGCTTCAAAGCATCATACGATGGAAGTATATCACACCCCATGTCTCTCATTGTCTGCCTCAATGTAATATACTGCCATTTCGATAATTTCAGTGATGTTGAAATACCAAGTGCCTTATCGGTATGACAAGTTCGTTTCGTCGATTTCAGGCAGGCGCGCAGCATTGGCGCATCTTCAGGCTTTTTAATCAAATGCTTCACTAATTCTACAAAGTCCGTTTGGTTTTCATTTTCCGCTTTCCTAGCCAGAGCATAAGCAAGTGTCTCAAAATCGTTTTCGGCAATGAGATTTTCAGTTCTTCTTCTTTTTTGCAGTGGACTCAAATTGGCAAATTCTTTTCGAGGACTAAATGTAGCGGTTGATGTCGACACAGCCACACTATGAGGAACAGTGCATTCCGTTGATAAACTAGGTCTTGTTACTGTTGAAATACTTGTTGAAGGATCTTCAAAACTCGTCATAATATTTGATTGTTCTTCAGTTATGTCTAGTGAAACAAACTCTGGCCATTTTATTTCTTGGTCCAACCAGTCAGCAAACTTCTTTATAAAATTCCCTTGTGTGTAATTAGCTGACTTCCATTTGCGTTTAAGATTACTCGTATATGTAGCACAAAACGTTTTAAGAGTTGTCTTTTGTTCTTCAGATAATGAAAATCTCACTGAATCGAGTACTTTTTGAAATAACATGTCGGCACTAAAAGATTTTTGCCTCATATATATATATACGTCGAGATTAGACACAAGCCCTTCCATTCTGAGCAACTTAAAATTTGAGCAAAGAGAACGTTACGGTACGAATCAATAATGATAAGTGAAATGAAATACAGGTGTACTCCGTATTTATTATAATCGAAGTCATTGTTGAATAATAATAATAACAACGTATTATTTATTCACCTACCCACAATAAAAGCAAATAATCAGTAATTATTATAGGCAAACAACGGCAGGTAATGACTGTGGGTAACCCTTTGAATTCCTCAAAACCTGCAACAATAGAGTTTGTATTGTTTATATGTAATGATGCTCTCGTTAATGGCGCGCGGCTTTTAAGCGATTGTCAAACAAAAGATTAAATTGTAGGCTGTAAACGACTTCATTGTAATTCTTTACAATATTGTATTCTTGTTTTCTTTTTCTTAAAACTATTTCTTTTATCTATTTATATTAATTCCATATCTTTTGAATAAGGACGCTTTTATTTAAAGTTAAGTTGTATGGTGTCGTTATCTATATATATATGTATAGTTTTATTAGATGATAATCTGCGCTGTATTAATAACTAAATGCTGGGCAAGAAACATAAACAAACTGTTTATTGAGACACATAACCCCGTAAAGCAAAATTACCCTAATAAGCATTTTGAAAAATTCGTATCTTTTGAACGGGGCCGTCCGGGGTGAAGGTCAAAGGTCACATGGCTTCGTAACAGACCCGGTAATAATCCCTATTAGTTTCAGCTTGACCGTAGAAGACCGAGACAAGTTATGAGCAAAACAAATTCCGTTTTCATACATTTGAAACTCTAAAGCCCGTGCTTTATGGTGTTAGATTAAAAGGAAATTCCCCAAACTATTTTATTATTCAATGTACTGATATGTCCAATAAAACCGCATACCTTAAACGGATAATATACATTTTTATTTTTTCAAAAATCCTATGAAAGGGGACCTCTTTTTTTCACCCACTGTGCGCCGATCAGTCAGTACGGTGCCAGCGCTCTGCAAGGAAGGACCTGTGTCGTTTTGTACCGCACGCCTACAGAGCGATTCTCCGAGAGCATTCATCGTAAAACTGGCTGGATATACTACGACCGAAAAAGTTTGATCGTTGACTGTATGTAAGTTTTT